AGACCCATCCTTAATTTTCTATGTAATTTCTCTCCGAGTATGTTAATTAACATTTATTGCCTCGTTGGCAAGTGACGTGGACGTGGTTATTCGTTCTTAATTTTTTTTTCTCGCTATCATAATTATTTTGTACTCGTTGTTACAAGTGTACGTTTAATTTATTAGTGTTAGAAACACTGTTCTGGATAGATTTTCTTATTACTTTTACTATAGGAAATCTGAAAAATCATATCCCTTGTCCTTTTTAAATTGGACCCATGCCATTTGCTTTTCACCAATCAAATTCCTTCCTATTTTCCCTTACCAATCAGACACACTTCCCTCTCTCTTGTCCAATCAGAACTGACCTTCATTCTCTCTTTTTTTCTTTCTCCCTCACCAAAGCTCTCTTTCTCTGCAACCTTCAAGATCAACATCAAACCTTCATAGATCAAGGCTGAAATTACCTTCATGGTACTCCCCTTAAGCCCACGAACTCAACCGTACCCTCAGATCACAATTTGGACGAGTTTTGACTTGCCAACTCGAAAGCTGCGACTCGATGGACTTTGCTTCAACACGATCCCGACTGAGTTACAAAGTTTTAAGACTTAGGAAAGCTTATACATAACTCCTTAAGGTTCCTAGACCAGTTTTGGTGAGGTGTTGACATCGAACCAAGCACGTTCAAAGAGTTGAGCTTTTGGCCAAGACCTTCCAGCCATATCAGGCCATTTCCCATCCACTTTTGGACTTTTGAAAGGTATAACTTTGTTCTACTCTTCATAAGCTTCAAATCCATATAAATTTCATGGAAAATGGCTGAGAAATGAAGAAGTTATAAAGGTTTGAAAATTTTCCAGAAAACCAACGAGTTTTTCCAGCTTCCGACGAAGATGACGAAATATTCCGTCAACTATGACGGAATATCCTAAAGGCGTTAACATTTAATGAAATATTCTTAATGGCTGTTAAGGCCTCCGTCAGTCTCTGCCTACGAGTATGGTCGTGGGTTGGAAGGCGATTGAGGGCTCGTCCGGCTTCTGGCTGGCGAGTGGTTAACACGTACTAGTTCGTGACTTCGAGTAGAACATTTTTGTATATTCAAACCTTCCGTTTGAGCAAATTATGGGGAGTTATTCCTAGTTTTTATTATATGTCCTTATTAATTAATTTAATTTAGTTGTTTCGCATATAAGGGAGACTTACCCCGAGGATATTCGAGGACAAGCGAGACTAGAGGCTACGATCCTACGACATACCAGTGAGTGGGCATTTTGTTTTCATATATATATATATATATATTGTATAGTTTCCACAAATGTTTTTAATTTGATTTATGCATGTTATGCCACGTTTTACTTACTTTTATAATAATGCTGTGGTGGTTGAGATTTATATTTGATTATGGCATATTCATATGCATTTTACCTGTTATAAATACTATGTTATTATGAAATGCTAAGTAATTCTACAGGTCGCGCATGTAAGTTTAGGTGAGTTTATTGTGTTATTTGGAATGTTTGAGTTATAGCATGCTCATTTTCATATAGTGGCTCATCATTGTTACACCCAGTGTTAGTGCTCCGCCCCGAACTAGGGCCAGTCGTTCACTTGATGTTCAGCTCACACCACACGCTCGCCTTGAATTCAAGTAGGTTCTAGCCCTGTCGTACAGGTCACATTAGGCTCCGACTTGTAGGTGACACGCATAGCGCTAGCCTTCATGTGATCATAGCACTAGAGCGTATATTATTACACCTAGCCATGTCGTACATGTCACATTAGGGGGCCCCGACTCGTGTGTCGTACATGTCACATTGGGTGACTCCGACTTGTGTGCTAGTATAGCTTGTTAAGTACATGATTATATTTATATTGCCATTGAGATATTCTGCTGTGGCATATTTCTGAATTTATTGTTGGCAAGCATTTGATTTCATACTTATACGTAATATGATTTTCGAAAAACCATACTTGTTTTACGACGAAGGGTTAGTATGTTCATAAAACAAATGGTTTTATTAAATTCTTGCTTTTGTGCCCACTCACCCTTCTGTTTTTCGCCCCTCCAGGTCCTAGATAGCTGACCTACTCTGTTGCACTTTTGGTTAAGTCACCTTCAAGTGATTGCCAACACGTATTGACTCCAGTCGGGATGTGTCAAAAGGGAACCAAAAAGGAAAATGGCCCGAAGTGGCACACAAAATAAGACCTAAAAAGCAATATTCTAAACAAATGAAACCTAACCAAAGTGAAAATACGAAAATACCCTTCTGTTTCGTAAATTTCTGGACCCCAGAGTCTATTATCCAACCAAAATCTCGTTTAGTGGATGCTATGAGTGCAATATCGATTTTACCCGGATCCTCATTTGAAATTTGCTTAATTAAAGATAGCATCTGGTCATTTTCCTCTTGAGGCGCTGCAAGCGGTGACCTTTTTTAAAGGCTTTGGCCCTTTTTTTCCTCCATGTCTTAGACATCAACATTTGACTTGGGCCCAGGACGACTTGTTGCAATAGCAACTTTCCCAACATCATAATTGGGCCTTGCTTGGCTTGCTACCACATAAGCCTCTCCAACTCCAGACTCGGCCAGTTTGGCCTGACCCTTGAGTCTCCTCTTTGCCTTCAATTCTTTTTTTCTTTCCCAGTACCATTCTGGGTACTCGTGGATCTCAAAAAAAGTTTCTTCAGTGTGCCTATTTCCATTGCAGTGATTACAATGAAGCTTGTCCTTGTCAATGTCTTCTTGGGTACAACTTGGGCGAGGTGCTCCAATGGTTGATGGACGTAGGGATGGTGACGGGGACTTGGTGATCATTGTCATAGAAGAGCTTGCTATCGTGGCTTTTGTTCCAAGCATGGTGGCCTGTCTTTGTGCTTCATGTCCAACCAAAATGAAACACTCTTCAATCCCAGGAATGGGTTTCGTTCTTAAGATATCACTCCGGACTTGGTAAAAGCCATTCTGGCAAGGAAAGCATACACCTTGTCCTTTGACAGCTCTTCCTTGCGAGTTTGAAGGTCAATCGCACACACCATCTTGATAAGACGCCTTTTATCAAGATCTTGCCACAATCCCTTTAGTTCTGTAAAATATAAATTTATCGGACGACCGTCTTGTCTAGTCTGTGTAGCCTTGCATCTCAATTCATAATGCGAAGACTCGTCAGATCCTTCATGGAACATCTGGCTTGCACTTTTCCATATATCGTTAGCTGTTGGCACATCGATGAAGAGACTCAACAGGTGTGGTTCCATGGTTTTCAATAGCCACCCTCGCACAATAGCATCTTCGGTGACCCACTTGGTGTATCCCTAAGAGTCTTACGCAATAACTAGTATTTTTCCAGTCAAATACCCATGCTTGCCGAGGCCTGAAGCATGGACCTCCATCATCTTCGACCACACTTTCTAGTTTGTGTCGTTCAATCTGTATCCAAACGGAATGCCACTGATGTTGGTAGATTCATTCAGAATGGACACGGATTGGATGGTAACCAAGTCACTAGTTTTTCTTTCTTCAGCCATCGAACCAAATTGGTTTTTAATTTAATAAGGTTGAATTTGATGCAGCCTTGATGATTACAACGCCACATAGATTTTTGATTCCTGGGTTCAAATTTTAAGAACACCAGAAGTTGCTTGTGATGCAACCTTGGTTGCAGTTTGCACGTTTGCCTGGTTTTGGGGTTTGGTTTGGGAAGAGACAGGGCGAAACCTACTCTGATGCCAAGATAAAAGTCTATGTGTTTAGGGTTTAATTGTTCTGTTTATTCTTCTCTCTAGGAAGCACATATATAATTGTACAAGAGGTCCTATAGTTTAGGAATTAAGAATCCCAAATATACAATGAATCAATCATGTGATCCTATTCTGATGACATTCCTAAAACATATAGTTGACTCATGCCAACACTTGGCAACTACAAGAGTTCTGGTGAATTGTGCAATATTCCACAAGCCAATATCAGGCTGATTTGCAAAACAATATCCCCTCCCAGGAAGATCCGTTGTATTCGGCGTGTAACTTGGAGCAAATGCATCCAGAAATCCGAAAAGACCATGATCAATTGTAAGACCCATAATGCTCATATTGTCAGGGTTCAACACACCGTGAGTAAAACCAACCCCCTGCCATCTGGCAACCAAGGAAGCAATACTCTCAACAACCTGCACCACCCAAGCTGTTAAAAAAATTATGATGGGAGCGAAGTTCATAAAAACAAGTAATTAAGTACGCCCGAGTGTAGAACTTTTATCAGAAATTATTTTCAGAGTGGCGGCAAGGGTAGATGAGAGAAAAGACCAAGGTTCAGCATAAAGTGAGAATGCCATTCTCAATTGTAGCAACCACATTGGCAGAAATGTTGCGCTAAAAACTATATAAGCTAGAGAGAAACTGGCGATGCATCAAATCATCACATTCTGTGATACACAATGACGAAGTCCTATTAAAAATAATAAGATGGTCCCTGAGTAATGTGCTGCAGCACGGACGGCAGTATCAACAGCAGAAGCTGAAGAAGCCAATTGCATCTTAATTAGTTCAAAGTGTACATTGCACACACGAGATTTACCATCCCATCTTAATCACTGTCCATGCCCGATATGGGAGGCCACCACACCACTAACTTGGCCAGGAAAACAAAACTTCTCACAAAACTACTGAACCAAGTAGGACTGTGCACCAACACCTTTACTCCAACGGAAAAATGGTTACCTGCATCATACTTGTTAGATGTCAGATCAAGAACTTCTTCGTTGCCTGTGTTGAAAGATAAATTCTCGCTTCTACTCAGTACTTTAGTCTAAAGTGAGGATTCCAATTGCACTGTTCAAATTAACAGTGGCTTGGGGGTGGATATTGAGTTATTGACAAAATTGCCACCACTTCTTCACTGCCGTTCAGATTGTAAATTTTAATTTATTTACGAAATTGTCACCGCTTTGCACAGTGGAAGGGCGCCCACGCGTCAATTATCTGGATTGCTTTGACTACTTTTCCGTCCGTTTCCATCCCCTTTTCTTTCCCTTCGTCAAATCCCCCCATCCCACCCTTTTCTCAGCAGTACATTCCTGTTACGTTCCTCCGCTTTCTGAATTTTTTTGCTACGATTCCGGCGAAGGCCGTGTCGAAGCTGGTCAAAAACGATTCCTCAGTGCATCAGGTAACTTCTATACGGTTTTCCCAAAATTAGATCGCTTCTAATTCCGATCTGTGTTCTTCAATCATGTTGTGTTTGTCTGTTTTTAATTGTTGGTGCAGGTTCTTGACTATTTTCAAGGTATGTGTCTGAGAGAGGAGCAGAGACTTGGTGAAAAGAAGCTTTAGAACGGCAAGGGTAGTGAAAAGGAAAGATGAGAGAATTCTGACAAGGCTGGCAGATGAGTTCGAACAACTGACCGCTCAGCTGAACTCTCCGGCACCGATCACCATGGAAATTGGCAAGTTCACCCAAACCTGTCGTCTCGTTTCTCCTCTCATTCGACACTTAGGCGTCGCTTTGAAGTTCGCCGACATAGAGTACTCTGCTGAGGTATTATTCATCTCTTAAACTTGAGAGTTTGATGCTTTTTGGTGAAGGGGAGATTTGGGTTGCAACCTTGTCATTGTCTTCTACATTTGAATCAAATTTCAGAAGTTTGATATAAAATTTGGGTGTTCTTTATGGTTAGGTGGGTTGTGATTGATGAGTGCTTTGATTTCTTTGGTGCATTTGACTCATGGGAAATATGCACATGATTAAATCAGTTACTCATTTTTAAATAAATAATACAACTAGAAGATATTATTGTTGACCCTAGAAACTACAAAGACTACGTGGCGCGCATGCCGAGTAATCTATAAGCTAACTACGTCATTCGGTGATTGCGAGGCGTGCCAACTCGTCGGCCGAGCTCGGCCGAGGAGTAAATTTGTTGATGTTGCGTTGGGTGCGCGGCTGACTTCTGCGTCTTGCGATTGCGGCCGAGAAAGGAACACGTCTCGGCCTTTTGGGCTCTCGAACCTGAAGACAAGGTTACTATTTTTACGAAGTTCAATATCAAATTCGGCTTTCAACGTGCCGAATGTAATCACTTGTAACACCTCACTTCGCCGAGAAGGCTGATTAGATGACATCGACCAATAAGGATTCAGAAATCCTTCTCGACCGAGACTCGGATAGGTAACCAATCGTTCTCGCCGCAGTGCTGTTGATGCCAACGGAAGATACTGCGAGACCGACTGATTCTACGGTGACAAAGCTATCTATGCCGACTTAAGATATCATCGGTTGCTTCCACAGTGCTGTTGATGCCAACGGAAGATGTGTCAGCGAAAAAGGAAAAAGAAAAATCACAAGTTGTGAGAATTTGCGCAGGGCAATTTTGTATTGATTTGTAGGGGCTTTTTACGTTCCACAGCGCCTTGTATTTATAGGACTAAAGTATTTGGCTTGCACGGTCAGATAATGTTGCAGAGTCTAACTGCAACTCTACCTCGTAGAATGAAATCTGATCCGTGGCATAAGCTGGCTGACCTTTAAAATATAAAAACTATCTAGGCTTATCCCATCATGACCAAAGACCTAGCTTACCTAGGTTTCTCTCTCCACCATCAAATCCTTGCTTTATCTCATTAAGAATCCCAATGCAACTAAAGCCTTTTGTTTTAGATGAAAAGTATAGGGAAAAATTATTGTCATTGATTGATTTTAAGAAACAAAACAAAGAGGTCTTTATATAGAGAATGATCAAAGCAAACCCTAGACAAAAAACCCTAATACTAACGGGCTAAGCCCAAAATACCAAAGATTAAAATAAAACTAAATAATAATAGTTTCCAACACCCCCCGTCAAACTCATGGCAGTACACAAACATGAGTTTGCCAACCAGTAGATGCGGATGCAAGCTCCGTTAGGCGAACAAGACAAGGCGAACAAGCTAGCAAACAAACGAACGAACAAACGAGCAAACAAACGAACGAACAAACAAGCATGCGAACAACGAACAACCAAGTAAGCAATTTCCATACTACCAACTCCAATCCTCGCGGGCATCTTCTTCAAACGTTGAAGAAGCGGGTGGATGCAATTCAACAAATGCGGCCTTAGGTGGTGGTTCTTTTAACTCTTTCCGAGCTAACCAAGGACATTGATTTTTCCAATGCCCTTGTTCTTTGCAGTAGCTACACTGATCAATATTTTTAACACGCTGCTGGTTTTGAGGCCTAAATGATGTTGCCAAAGCCGATGGGTTCACCAAAGAAAGACTATGTGATTGTACCCGAACTTCTTCGGCTTGCAATTCATTAAGCACAGAATCAACGGAAGGAAGTGGAGTCCGGTGTAGGATAGAGCTACGGAGAGTCTCAAACTCACTTCGAAGAGGCATTAAAAACTGAACAAGGCGTTGTTCTTCTCTATATTTACAATAGAGCTCATCATTGCTAAGTCCATCAGGTTCTGTCAGTGCAAGCTGGTCCCAAAGACAGGTCATGTCATTATAAAAATCTTGGATACTTTTATCACCTTGCTGGCTGCCACGAATCTCCATCTCTAACTGATAACGCTTAGCAAAATTCGACTTGGTATACAACTTTGCTAAGTGATCCCAAACCTCTTTAGATCTTGAGAACTTAGAAAGTTGCATTCCAATCTTCAAATCAACAGAGTTATTAATCCAAGTAATAATCTTTGAATTGTTCATCTCCCAAATAGCAAGCAAGTCAACATGTTTTTCATCTTTGGGGTTATTCGGAACGGAAATCGTTCCTGATACATAGCCCCACAAACCTTTTCCAATCAAGAAATTCTTCATGACATATGCCCAATACACATAATTATTACCATTCAATCTCACACCAATCGCTTGCAGCGAGTCATCCTTGGTTGTCATATTCAATGAACCAAAAACAAAGACAAAGTGCACAAAACTGACAATAGTTTGATGTAGGCTGCAGACTGATGCACGCAAATCTGATTCTGGGCAGCAGGTTTGGTGAGCCAACTGACAGCTACAAGGGTTTCTCTGCAAGCCTCCCTGATGCAGCGGAATAAATATGGTGGTTCAAGCAGCAGCGGTGGCGGACGGTGCGAGACAAACGAACAAACAAGCTATCAGATGAACAAATATATAATCTATGAGACAAGTCCTCACGAACCTGCTCTGGTACCAAGATGAAAAGTATAGGGAAAAATTATTGTCATTGATTGATTTTAAGAAACAAAACAAAGAGGTCTTTATATAGAGAATGATCAAAGCAAACCCTAGACAAAAAACCCTAATACTAACGGGCTAAGCCCAAAATACCAAAGATTAAAATAAAACTAAATAATAATAGTTTCCAACAGTTTTTTCATGACGGATGTCCAAGTGCAACCATACATGCAAATTAAATTATAATTTAATTGCAATATCATCTAATCACTTGAGATACCATCTTCCATCAAATACCACTTTGTATCAGGAGTCCTATTGATGCATGACTCACGTGGCCACAGCAATACAAAAGAAACATATTCTCCAGTATCCTATTTTGCATGCCTACCCGATGTGCTTCGAGATAACTGTATAAATAATTTTAAATTATCATCTAAGAGATAAATATATGATTAAAAAAATCATAATGTTATCCTTTAAATAATAATTAAAAAATTATCTTAGTAAATCCAACAGTTTAGAATTCGCCCATTCAAAGATATTGGCCGATTCTGTAATTTTGGGTCCAAACAACTATACAGACAATAAAAAGGGACCAAATTTTTTTTTACATCCTTATTGTTTATTCAGTGTTCCTCAACTTTATAATTGATTTGCTCATATTTCCTTTTGATTTAATGGATTTTTTTTATATAAAAAAGTTTTATTATTAATGGGAGGGAGAGAGTTTTAAACTGTTACAATTATTTAGGAGAGAGAGAGAGTTTTGAATTTGGAATGGATGGAAACCCAACACCATATACACTTAAGATATTGAACCGCATGCTGATTTAATGGTTTCAGCTAATTCAGTTTCTTAGAGCAACTTCCTGTGCAAGGATGTAAAATTGAGAATGTAAATTAACATTTTATAACTCTAGAGACATGTTTGCCCTAGTAGGAGAATATTAATTTCATGAAAATGAAATGCATCTGACTTTTTTTGTTATTATTATTTTTTTAATTTAATGTGATGAAATTTTTCTTCATTGCGTTAAAATAATAAAAGGAAGAAAAAAAATACTAAATAAAAACTCAATTACATAAATTCCTAAATATTTCTTATTATACTTATGTATGGTGATGCTTGAGATGTAAAAATGAAAATATACTACTTTTTTTTTTACATCTTCTGGTGAGGGTGAGTAATTCTGATATTGAAATTCCGGTGCACTGAATTTCAAATATATTTTTAAGTTATATAATACACAATTAAGACATTTTACATATTTCAAAGATGATCTTAATTATTTATATTTTCCTTTTGATTTTGTTCATACATACTTTCCTTTGATGTGAGTGTTTCTTTGTTGTTTTTTTTTTTTAATTAAATTTTGATTAATGTGGTGGTTGCCAGGTTAATGGGATTCAAAGGCAGTAAAGTCAGTTAATACCCTAGAAGATTTGCTTGACCGTGAAATACAACAGAACACCATGAAGGACCAAAGTAGTGCTTCGAGATCCCTCAACAGAGTGAAGCGTTCGCTTGAGATGCTTAAGATAATATTCGAGCAAACTATGGCCTCAAGGTTTTACTTATCTCAAACCTAGCCTCGATCTTCTCTGAATTCACTGTTTCAAGGTATGTGGCTGTGAGCCCACTTCAGAGGCCGGTTCGACATTCCGTTGTTTGTGAGGTCGCCACGAAGAAGCGCGACTCTGCTGTGAAGAGAGCTTGGCAGGCCGAAAAGAGGAGGTTTTACAACAAATCCCGGAAATCCGAAATCAAAACCCGGATGAAGAAGGTACTTCTCTTTTCGGCAAGTTAATTTGATTTTAACTGAGGATGGAGAAACCCTGCAAACAATTGCACCAGGCTCCCCTTTTGGATTGCCACTGCAAATAAGGACACGAGGAATTTCTTTTAAGAAGAGAATATGAGGAGCATATATTCCTAAAATTTATTTTCTTTCGAGCAACATATTGATATTTTAGCATCATATCAAAGCAACGTGGGCTAATATATATCAATGAACAAAGAGCATCCCAATGGGTTTAGAAAAAGAGTAGAATTTAGTGATTAAGGGTATATTAATATTTTTGTATCAACTTTTGGTTATAATTATCATAAATTTAAAGTTTTATTTGGGGTCCAAATTTTCCTATAAAATGAAAGTGTCTGAGAGAGGAGCAGAGACTTGGTGAAAAGAAGTTATAGAATGGCAAGGGTAGTGATAAGGAAAGATGAGAGAATTCTGACAAGGATGGCAGATGAGTTCGAACAACTGGCCGCTCATCTGAACTCTCCGGCACCGATCACCATGGAAATTGGCAAGTTCACCCAAGCATGTCGTCTCGTTTCTCCTCTCATTCGACACTTAGGCGTCGCTATGAAGTTCGCCGACATAGAGTACTCTGATAAGGTATTATTCATCTCTTAAACTTGAGAGTTTGATGCTTTTTGGTGATGGAAAGATTTAGGTTGCAACCTTGTCATTGTCTTCTACATTTGAATCAAATTTCAAAACTTTGATGGAAAACTTGGGTGTTCTTTAGGGTTTGGTGGATTGTGATTGATGAGTGCTTTGATTTCTTAGGTGCATTTGACTCATGGGAAATATACACATGATTAAATTAGTTACTCATTTTTAAATAAATAATAAAACTAGAAGATACTATACAGCCAATAAAAAGGGACCAAATTTTATATTATATACGTCCTTATTGTTTATTCAGTGTTCCTCAACTTTATAAATGATTTGCTCATATTTCCTTTTGATTTAATGGATTTTTTTTATAAAAAAAATATTATTATTAATAGGAGAGAGAGGGTTTTAAACTATTACAATAATTTAGGAGAGGGAGAGTTTCGAACTCGGAATGGGTGGAAACCCAACACCATTTACACTAAGAGATATTGAATCACATGTTGATTTAATGGTTTCAGCTAATTTAGTTTCTTAGAGCAACTTCCTGTGCAAGGATGTAAAATTGAGAATGTAAATGAACATGTTATAACTCTAGAGACATGTTTTGCTCTAGTAGGAGAATATAAATTTCATGATGAAAATGAAATGCATCTAACTTTTTTTTGTTATTGATTTTTTTTAAAATTTAATGTGATGAAATTTTTATTCATTGCTTTAAAATAATAAAAGGAAGGCAAAAATACTAAATAAAAAAATCAATTATATTAATTCCTAAATATTTTGTATTATTCTTATGTATCGTGATGCATGAGATGTAAAAAATTACCTTTTTGTTTACATCTTCTGGCGAGGGTGAGTAATTTCGATATTGAAATTCAGGTGCATTGAATTTGAAATATATTTTAAGTTACATAATACACATTTTAAGACATTTTACATATTTCAAAGATGATCTTAATTATTTATATTTTCCTTTTGATTTTGTTCATATATACTTCCCCTTGTGAGTGTTTCTTTGGGTTTTTTTTTTTTTTTTTCTAATTAAATTTTGATTAATGTGGTGGTTGCCAGGTTAGTGGGATTGAAAAGGCAGGAAAGTCAGTTAATACCCTAGAAGATTTGCTTGACCGTGAAATACAACAGAATACCATTAAGCGCCACAGTAGTGGTTCGAGAATTCTCATCAGAGTGAAGCGTTCACTTGAGATGCTTAAGATAATATTCGAGCAAACTATGGCCTCAAGGTTTGACTTATCTCAAACCTAGCCTCGATCTTCTCTGAATTCATTGTTTCATTAACATGTCTAAAATCATTTTCGTTTGCAAATGCAATTTCATCTTAAGTGTGCTTCTACGTCCACTCATATGTTCTATTTTCTCATATCCACTTAATTCTATATTTCCGGTCATCATGAATTTTTTTTAATATTTAATATTCATTAAGTGTTTTTAAAATAACTGAAAACACTTTTAATGAAAGTATTTTTGGGTTTCAAGAGCACTTAAAGTGCTTCTTGCAAGAAGTATCCAATTATGTGATTTGTAGGAAGCACTTCAAATATTTTTTCGGGATTCACTTGTATTTTTACTAAGGATTGGTTTCAAAAATACTCTCAACAAACGCATTTATAGTCATTTTAAAATCACTTTCAAACGAGCTCATAGACTCCTCGTTCTAAACCCATGATATCCATTATACCATGACTTAAATATTTTACTTAAGGCACATAATTATTTATTGACTAATCTTTGAATTAATTATTCACAAAAGAACAAACCCTAAATCAATGACTGCTATCTCTAATTTTTGTATGTCTATAATTTTGCAGCTAGCTGTTATTTTACTATCACAGATTCACAGTTACTTATAACTTGAATTTCTTTTTCTTTTTTTACTTGGGCAGCGGATATTCAATCATGGATCCGGTTAACACAGCATATAAACAAGTTTTTTACCCCTACCACGGATGGGCTACCAGAAAGGCTGTTGCGGGTGCACTGCACACTCTTCCTACAAAGTCACTGTTCTTGAAAAGGCTAAAATTAGATGGTAAGACTATTCTAGTATGTAACTCATTATTGTCATATTATCTGCTTCCAACCCAGGCTTCTAGCAGACTAGCTTATATATATTGACATTAGGCTAGAGATTTGGGATTGATAGGTTCGACTGCTCATGGTAGCGGTAGCTACCGTGGCCGGTTGCAGGTTCTTTTTTTCATATCCGATATAGAGAAGAAGAAGAAAAAAAAAAATCTTTCGTTCAAATATTGAGCATATATAATTAACATGAATTTACTATGAATGCTATATGTACATGGGTATTTTAGGGTGGGACTTAATTGGTTACACAATTTGTTTGGTATTCTATTTTATCAGAGGCTTCGGCTTTTGTTCTGATGCAAAGGACAGTTATTGCATTGGATCCTCTGATACGCTACATGGACAATTTATTTCATTCAAGGGAGTCAGCTCAAGAGTTGCTACGCTTGATTTGATCGATTTCCGTCTTTCACACATGCATTTTTACAAATGTGCTTTGATTTCCGTGTTTCATATGTATGGTATGATTGAATATCAGTGTGAACCTTATCGGGATTGTTATTCGATTTGGTTATAGTTATGATAATTTTCCTTTTTCCATTGCCTGCCATTCTGTGCTTCCTGTACTGTTGGTCAACTTTTTTGAACAAGAAGGTCTGGAGAGTTCGAAGCGTGGTAAAAACTCAAAAGATGCGCCACTAGTGTCACTTTTTCTATATTGGCCGCGGTTACTTTATTAAATTGCCACGCTTTGGTATAACCATCCCAACAACATCCACCGTCATCACATCCTAGGTATGATGGACTAAATTATTAGTGCCATGAAGGATGAATGTAGTGATAAAAAAAATTCTGTTAAGAAAAAAAGTAAAAAGAGAGAAAAAATTGTGCCATGAAATTCAAAAAAAAAAAAAACGAAAAAATGGTGATGCTCTTATGTTGTAAGTGCTTCGAAGTTTCTACAATGCAGTTGGATCTCTCTATTGTGAAGAAATTTTCTATGCTCTACGTTTTCCTTAGACTTTGTTTTCTATAACTTTTTCTGTTTAGCCATTTATCCCTCAACCAGATTATAACTTTGTTGAAGACCTTTAATTTGAGTTGTTACTTTTTATTTGTGGGACCATGATTTTCTAGGGCTAGAGGAAGGCTAATCTGAATGCTGCTACCTCGTAAGTTTAGTCAGTGGCGGAGCCAGAATTCTGAATGAGAAGGGGCCTTTCACAAATATGTATATATATATATATATATATATATATATATATATATATATATATATATATATATATATGAGTGTAAAAAGTTGAATTCGTAACATGTTGACATATGCAATTTGTGTAATCCTCACAAAACTGAAAAAAAATCTCTTAAATTCAATACTAAGAAGGAGAAAATGTAAAAACCCAAACAACCAAGTAAGAGATACGTTGTGGAAGGCTAAAGAAAATACAAAGAAGTAGAAAAAGAAGGAAAAGGGGGAGAGGTTTGCAAATAAAGAAGGTGGGTTGCTTTAGAAAATTATAGAGTGTATATTACTGTTAGGTGAGAGGAAGTGGGGTTACTTTTTCCATTTAAAATTGCACATCTCTTTTAAAACTCCTCTGTCAAACTTATTGTTTCATTAGACATCCGAAAAGATTTAAAATCAAAACAGCTCAACGATATCGTTTGCTTCATCTTCTTCCATGAGGTTCACACCTCAGATGAAGTCAGGATGGGCCAGGGACTACCCTAGTCCCTTGGTGGCTCAGCCCCTGAGTCTAGTCATGAACTCAGCTCCGGACGGAACATGGTGCCACCATCACTCTACTCCTGGGCACTAGGTGGAGTCCAAGTGATTCTACTAGATGACCATGCTTGTTCTGCAAGACAAGTGATCTGATCTGGAATTGGATACAATCAAATTTTATAAGTCTTGGAGTTCCTACAATCTAGGAACAGGCATGTGTCGTAAATGATCACAACCCCTAAAATGAAGCAATATCTACTTACTAGATATCCTTCATGATTCTCTCGGCTTAGAACAAGGATTCTATACCCAAAAATGTCTCTCTCCCATGATATAAATACACCCTCTTAGGGTTCATATAGGTAACGCAATCTAAATGCTTTAATTCTCTAGCCTACTATTGGAGTCTCATATCATCCACTAACTTTATCGTCGGAGGGCCTTTGGCCTGCACACACCCCCAATCTTAGGCTTGCTCACGGTTGTGTGCAATTTTGCAAGCTGCTTGAAGGTGCACGAATTTGGTTGCAACATCATTGATATCGAGTTAGGTGGACAAGCAAGCATATGAAAGCATGTACAATGAGATAACTTGAGCGAGACAAATTAATCCACAAATATGAGTGAATAGTGTTTGTCCCATGAATAGCTCATTGGTTTACATATGATGATTTAAAGGAGCTTGGAATTACATTGACATGACTACCTCTCACACCACATTGATTTTGGTGGAAAAATATGCAAACGGAAGAACAAATGCTCCTCTCAAACAAGTAGCCCATTAAAATGTGTTCCATTTGGTTTAAGAATGAACCTACACTCCAGTTGGACTCCATTAGCCGAAAGTTGCAAGAATTAATATTTCTATGGTGGGGAATCTAGCATGATGGAAAGAAAATATTTCTATGGTGGGAATCTAGCACGATGGAAAGAAAATATTTCTATGGTGGGGAATCTAGCATGATGGAAAGAAAGGAATAAAAGAAATGGAATTCGAAGGAATAGGTGGGCTGAAAAGAATGAAAGGAATAAAATACAGTGATTTCAAGTGAGATTAGAGAGTGAGCTCTCGACATTGAGGCCGAATTCTGGTGAAAGTGGCCAGCTAAAAAGGAATATGGGTTTTTGAACTTTAATTCTGGAAAAAGATTAAAATTTAATAAAAATCTAGTGTTAGATTAGATATTGATTTTAGTTCTCTAATGTGTACTTAATTCAAATTTTTATTATATTTTTGTTTTAATATTTAATAGATATCTTATTTAATGTCATTATATTAAAGTTAAAATTATTTAGTATTAGGCTTATTATATTAACACCCCACATACTTAATGCACCTCATATTTGTTTTTTTTCATTAAAAATTATCTTAATAAACCTCACATACTTCCCATAACACCCTCACACCCCACATTCTTAACATACAGCTTACATTTTCTACATACACCCTCACATTATTCAAATCTTATAATTCTCATTTTTGCTTCCGTGGTTTTCATTATTCTCCATGGAAATCCTGATTTTTCGTTTCATTCTTGTAGTGTATGTTAATGATATAATCATCACTACCTCTTCTTGTGTTTGTCAATCCATCATTTCTCAATTACAAGCAATGTTCCCTATAAAAGATTTAGGGGATATTCATTATTTTTTGGGAATTGAGGTTTAGAGATCATCCAAAGGTCTCTTTTTGCCTCGATCTAAGTATGCATTGGATTTGCTTAAAAAGACAGATATGCTTGGTGTCAAGCCCTATAGTACTCTAGTTAGTTCTTCCAAATTAGATCATTTTGGAACTTTATTGTTTGATCCCATCTTCTCCACAATGTGTGCTCTCCAATACCTTACTTGGACTAAGCCTGATCTAGCATTTGATGTCAACCAAGTTTGTCAGTACATGCAATCTCCTTAGTCTATTCATTTGTAGGTTGTAAAAAGGATCCTCAAGTACCTTAAAGGCACAGTTGGTTCAGGTATATGGTTCACTAAAGGTCCTTTATACCTCACTGCTTGGTCTAATGCTGATTGGGCAGGTTTCCATGTTGATATAAGGTCTACTAGTCAATATTGTGTTTCCTTAGGTCCAAATCTTGTATCATGGAGTGCCAAGAAGCAGAATACATTGGCCAGGTCCTTAATTGAAGCAGAATATCGATCTCTGGCCAACATTGTTGCAAAACTCACTTGGGTATGCAAAATTCTTCAAGACGTATATTTTCCTCTTCTCAAAACTCCTATTATATTATGTGATAACAAGAGTGCCATAGCTTTGGCCTTCAATCCTGTCATCCATGTAAGGACTAAACATGTGGAGATCGATTACCATTTCATTAGAGACAAAGTTCTTCTTGGAAATATTGGGGTTCAACATGTTGCCTCTCTTCTTCAAATTGTAGACATTTTTACCAAGTCTCTTCTTGTTGACAGATTTGCTACAATATCTCACAAGCTCCCAGTTCGTTCACCTTCCTTTAGCTTGAGGGTGTATTAGGAGTAAAGCACCAGATTAGTATCTAACTTGTTAGATTAGCTTGTATGCAGTATGTGTTAGTTATGTAAAATTGCTTAGTCAGCAAGTATAGTGGGCATATTGTTATTTATGTATAAATACTCTACATGTACATTCATAGATGGTCAATGAGAATACATTCTTTAGATTCAATCTCTCTCTAAACTTTCCGTCTCTCTCTATCTAATTGTCTCATAACTGTCACACTTTCTACAGTTAGCCCTCTCCAACCAGCTTTAGATAACTTGTTTCTTAAACTTTACCTTTAAAATATATACAAAGTAGGGGTGGGCAAACGGGTAAAGGAACCGCGGGTAGGGGCGGGTAATGTAGGTTCGGGGCGGGTACAGGCCGAGTCCTCTTTTTTTTGGGAACAAAAGGGGCTGGGCGGGGCGGGCCATGGTTATTTACGGGGCGGGCCGGTTCTTAAACTTTAGAAAAACGAGGCCCCGGACCGGCCCGTTTCTAATTATAATCAACGATCGAGATTGAATGATAACCTATCATTCAATCTGAACCGTTAATTTGTAACTTAGGTTTCCAAAATCCAAATCAGTTTCAGACTCTCAGTAACTCTCGAATCTCGATCTCTCCAACACTCCCTAACCCTCTCAGCTCTCTCGAATCCATGGCGCCACTCCTTCGTCCACCTTCTCCGACACGACTCCGGCCAACCACAAGCAAGCCACACATACAGACAAGCACACACACCCTGCTACTCACTCTCTCACTCCCACACCCCACCCCACCTCTCCAGTCTCCACCGTCACTCCCTCGAGCCTCGACTCCCTCGACGGCTACTGTCTACCATCGGCGTAACCAAGACTTTCTAGGATGGGAAAGTCGAACCTGTTTTCTAGGTTCACCAGGAACGAGTTTAATTTGGAGTCCAAGTCTACCATTGGCGTCGAGTTCGCCACCAGGAACGAGTTTATATTTTTAGTTTTTCTGATTTGGGTTTGATTTAATTATCTAGCTGATTACTTGGAAAGATTTGATATATATAATATCTTGGTTTGAGTTTTGATTGAATTGTATTCGCAGCTCAATTGTTCATTGCTGTCGGTTTTGAGTTTTTTGGGATTCGGTGGAGATTTCATTCCATGAGGGTTTGCTGCTCTGCATGTTCAGGGTAATTTTGTGGGGATACTGTTTTCTATGTAATGCTAATTACTAATGCCAGGTGATATTATTGATTGCAATGAAAACTTTGATAATGCCATATCGATTTTGATTCTTAATACGAGTGTTATTTCAGTTTGTGTTTTCTGCATTCGGTTTTGTATGTCAAGTGTTATGATTATTTCAAAGAACACCGATTCTATCACTTGCAATTGAAGGTAACTTTTGATAAGTTTGATAATTTGTAAACCATCTGCGCCACAAGCCGCCATCCACAAAGCATCACCAGCTGCGACTTTGTCTCTGATCTGTTTAAATTTTCAGGTAACTATTTAAATTTTCAGGGTTTATCGATTAACTCTCACTCTCTCCAAACGCCTTTGTCTCTGATCTGTGTGTATGTGCGTGTGTGTGTTCTCTGTCTGTGTGTGCGTGCGTGTGTGTGTGTTCTGTGTTCTGTGTGCGTGCGTGTGTGTGTGTTCTGTGTTCTGTGTGCGTGCGTGTGTGTGTGTGTGTGTATGTTCTCTGTGTGTGTGTGTGTGTGTGTTTTGTTTTGTGTGTGTGTGTGTTTTGTTTTGTGTGTGTGTGTGTTATGTGTTGTGTTGTGTGTGTGTTCTGTGTTGTGTGTGTGTGTGTGTGTTCTCAGTCAATTCCTTAAACGAGAAGGTAATTTCAAATTCATGTCCTCAAGTTCCTTGTTATACTTATATGTGCAGTTTTTATATATGTGCAGTTTTGATTTATACATGTGCAGTTTTGATTTATATATGTGCAGTTTTGATATATGTGCAGTTTGGTGTTATACAGATCGAGCATACATGTGCAATTTGGATGTCTTGGACTTTCGGATATTTTGTATGTGGATTTCATTTTTAGATGTTGGAGGACGATATAATATTGTTATTTTGGATGTATTGTTAAAACTTAATTTATGAACTTGGATGTTAGACTTTGTATTTAGATTAGATGTGAATAATGGTGAATTTGTGCAAAATCTGCATAAATGCAGTGTCACTGTGATTGTGCAGTTGCAAATTGCAATCTGTGCAGTTTGCAAACTGTGCAGTGCAGTTAAAAAAAAAAAAAAAAAAAAAAAGGGTACCCGTGGACCCGGCCCGTTTTAACCGGGCCGGGTAATGTCCGGTTCCTATACAAGAAAATCCAATCCCCGTCCCGTCCCGGCCCGTTTCGAGTAATGTTAGGTTCCTATAAACTTAGGTTCGGCCCGGCTCGCCCCGGCCCGTGCCCAGCCCTAATACAAAGGTCATATTTTCTTAATTCAATTCATGCCACTTGCACCTTTCAAGTTTTACAATTTAAATTTAGGGGTCTCTTCAATGTCCATATATAGTTTTTTTCTTTAACAAATATTAGCCCACACTCCCAAAATTCTTGCCTCCGCCCTTATAAAATGACAAGTGCTACGTCAGTGCAAGGCATCTTTCAGTTTTCAAACTTTTGTGTTCAGTTTGTTCTTGGCAATTAAAAAAAGAGAAATGCTAAGAAGACTCTTTCAAAATAGAACTCTTTATGGACTCTCCGCCCTTTCATATTTTTGTCATAATATTTTATAATGTTGACACATAAATTGTGCCAAAAACATGGTGAGGTCCACTGAAAATCAGGAATTCAATTCCAGAATTTGGAGGAATTGGATTACTGAGGTGATGGTGAGAATTGAATACAATTCCTCCAAATTCCGGAATTGAATTCCTGATTTTCAGTTCACCCCACCATGTTTTTATTCCCAAGAGGCTGAGTAAACATTGGAATCCTTTCAATGGGGAATGATTCCATTTCATTTCATCCCAATTCGATTGGTAAACATACCATATATTTCTTTCGCAGTCATCACTTGTAGTTGAGAAGAACTTATCTGTACCGAGTTCGTCATTGTATTAACATTTTGAACCAATAAAGAGATTTACACATATCAATCTATATTGGCTCAGGACGCCACATAGTTTTCCTAGGGGTGCAAGCAAAACTTGCCTATCCTCTTGGGTTGTTGAGGGCTTCCCCCCGTTTTGCGTTCGTCCTTGTTTTGATTGGTTGTTCCGGGCCGGGTGTGACTTTTTTTTTTGGTCAATAAAAGCACAAAGGTTGCGGACAGTTCCGGGTTTGCTTTGATATGAAGGAAAGCAACAACTATTTAAACAATATGCCAGTACTAGTACATTTTTTTGGCACAATTCTCGTGCCAACATTATAAAATATCATGCCACAAATATGAGGTGACGAAGAGTCTACGAAGAGTTATACTTTGAGAGAGTCTTATTAGTATTTCTCTTTTTTAAATTATGGACAAACTGAACACAAAAGTCTGAAAACTAAAAAGATGTCTTGCACTGACGTAGCACTTGTCATTATGTTAGGGCAGAGGCAAGAGTTTTAAAAGGAGTGTGGGCTAATATTTGTTAAAAAAACTATATATGGATATTGAGGAGATTTGAATTGTAAAACTTAAAAGATGCAAGTGGCATGAATTGAATTAAGAAAATATGACTTGTGTATATATTTTAAGGGTAAAGTTTAAGAAACAAGTTATCTAAAGCTGGTTGGGAGGGCTAACTGTAGAAAATGTGACAGTTATGAGAGAATCTGTCAGGGAGAGAGGTAAAGTTCATAGAGAGATTGAATCTGAAGAATGTATTCTCATTAACCTTCAATGAGCGTACATGTGGAGAATTTATGCATAAATAACAATATGCCCACTATACTTGCTGACTAGGCAATCTTAAGAAACAAGTTATCTAAAGTTATAGTGAAACTATGTAAATAAAAGGCATTTCTGATGCTTAGGGTCGCCGTTTGGCAGAGAATTAAAATTTGTTTTTGAAAGCAGAGAAGTCTATGCATAAACCTCTACAGAGAGAGTCCATCTACAGCTCTTATGAGTGAATAGCTGTGCTAACACCCCACCCAACTGCAACCTAATCGAAGTTGAACTGGACGGCCAAGGCGGCAGAGTCGAGTTGGTGAATGAAAGCTCAGATCATCAAGTTGTCTGGTATGGAGAGAAAACGCAGATGTACAACCTGTTCGAAATTATGTATTTAATTTACTTGATTAGAGATTGGCTTGAATTTTTTTTTTTTTTAGCAAACTGATCATGATGCGGTATGTCAACATGAGTCCGAGAGGTGTTAGAAAAATAGAAAAGAGGAAAATATTTTTAAGTAAGTGAATTAAGGATGTCATTTTATTTTCCAAGTTATTTTCTTAACTCTCTGCAGTCTAGAAGAGGAAATTTAAAATTACTAAGTAATTTCAAGATGATGGAATTTGAATTTGAATTTTTTTTTAAATTTGTAAGTTTTCTTATTTGTCTAGGATCAGTTATGGTGATGATTTGGTGGGTGGTGGAGGCAGTTTGATAATGGGTGGTGGTGGTGGCGGCGATGGTAATGGAAGCCATAGTTGTGGTGTTGTACAACGTTGGTGGTGGGAGTGGAGGTAATGGTTGTGGTGGCGGCACCAACGACAATAATGGTGGGCGTGGTGGTGGTGATGGCAAAGCATGATGGTGGTACAGAAGTGGGTGGTGGGTGTGTAATAATGAAAATGATTATAGCTCTCACTTATAGAAATTTAAAAAGGCTAAATTGGATTGTTCATCCCTGTGGTCATATGACACTTGCATGATCACCCCCGTGGTGAAAAAACTAGGAATTAAACCCCTGTGGTCTAGAATGTTAGCAAATTTAGTCCAAAAGTAAAATTTATGTTAAAGAACTGTTAAAAGTTGGGGTAAAACTGTATTTTCAGTTCCAATTGACATTGAATTGGGTCTTTTTTTTTATTTAAAAAATTAAGCATTATTTTTTTTTGTTAATTGTTATAAAAAAATTATTTATTTTAAATGTCAATTGGAACTAAAAATACAGTTTTACCTATACTTTTAACCGTCATTTAACAGAAATCTTACTTTTAGACTAAATTTGCTAACATTCTTGACCACAGGGGTTTAATTTCTAATTTTTTCACCAAGGGGGTCATCATGCAAGTTTCCTATGACCACGGGGATGAATAATCCAATTTGGTCATTTAAAAATGATACTATTTCCATGAAATTTAAAGTCAGAATTTAAAAACCCAACCCCAACCATACTACATACCAAGTCTCTACCATCTTTAAATTGAACTCCAGTAGTTCCTTATAAATAGATTATACTTATAGATATCATTTTTTTAACGATTGCAAATACTCGAAATATAGTTATCACGCACTCCAAATTATAATCACTGTATAAACATTTTTTTTTAGTTCTAGCGGCCTCTAGTCACTGTAACTCTCAGAAACTACCTATATTATAGATTGTAGTCATTTTAGTCATTTTACTTATTTAATATACCTATATTATAGATTTTCTGTCGACAATCTACCTATATCAAAAATAAGTCTTTTTAGTTACCATATTATAGATATTTTTTGCTTGTAATCTACCTCTTCAGAATTAGTTGTATTCAACTCTGTCTCAAACATATTTCATTTCAAAAAATTTGTAGTCTTCTTATGATATAGCTATGTATGCTACAATTGTACTCAATTGAAAAAACAAATTGGAATTTTAGACCTGGATCTAAACTGCCCTTTTTTTTTAAATAAGGAACAACTAAAAAGTCCAGTTGAATTTAGCTAAAATTTAATTTAACTTCAAAATAGAAAGTATGATTGGAGATGCACGAAAGTGTATCGAGTCTCATCCCAGTCCTACTCCAAAAACTACAAACAAACCAATAAAATATTAGTTGGATTCTTTTCTCTGCTGATCCTTCGTATACCTTTTCAGTTATCAGACATCTGAAGAACCAAGTCTAACCATCCTCTCATAGTCATTGACATTCGTCCAACGCACAAAAATAACGTTCTCAAAGTCTCTAGCAGTTGAAGCTAAGGAAGATCCAGGTTAGTCATTTAGTTATCAAATCCCTACATAGTTTCTCTCCCTTTTTGGTGGTACCTATTTTATTGTTTGAAATTTGAATCTTACAATTTGTTTTTCTCTGTCAATTTTTTTAAAGAAGGACAGGCATGGAAATTGTTAGTTTCGTAGTACAAGTTGGTGAGTGGTTATGGACTCCAGTGAAGCATCATGTGGGTTACTTGGTGCATTACAAGAGCCACATGCAGTCTCTTGAAGTTCTGGTCGAAAAGCTAGAGGCCAGGCAGAATGATTACCAGCGAGACGTGGATGCGGCACTAATGAAAGGAGACGAAGTTAAATCCGAGGTTCAAAAATGGCTCAAGGATGCTGACAAGGCCATAATCGATGCGAAAAGACTAAATAAAGAAGCCGGAGAAGACAAAACATGCCTCGGCGGCTGCTGTCCGAATTTGAAATGGCGTTACAGTTTAAGCAAGAGGGCCGTTAAGGAGGCAGAAGAAATGAACAATCTTAAAGAAGAGAAAAGGTTTGAAACAGTTTCGCTTCAAGTTCACCGACCCGTTGAGTTCGAGTCCACCATGTCAACAGGAGATTTCGAAGCATTTGAAGCAACAAGGGAGGCCATGGATGGGGTCATGAAGGCACTGAAAGACGATAACGTCACTGTCATTGCGGTCTATGGAATGGGAGGCATAGGCAAGACGACCATGGTGAAACATGTTGGCGTGCAAGCGCGTAAAGGCAAGCTCTTTGATCATGTGATTATGGCTGTCGTTTCCCAAAACCCGAACCTGGTAAAGATTCAAAAACAGCTTGCAGAAATGCTGGCCTTGAATTTGAGTGAGCAGACAGAAATAGCCAGAGCAGGTAGATTAAAGGAGAGAATAATGAGAGGGAAAAAGATCCTGATAATTTTGGACGACATTTGGAAGACAATAGATTTGTCTCTCATAGGGATCCCCGATCACTACGAGCTCCAAAACTGCAATTCCAAAGTTCTACTCACCACAAGGATATGGAATGTATGTCATGCCATGAAGAGCCAAGAAAAGATTCATCTCGATATCCTATCAGAAGAAGATTCTTGGGCCTTGTTTGTGAAGAAGGCAAACAGGTCTTTTGAATCAACCAATTTATGTGACATAGCAAGGAAGGTAGCCAGAGAATGTGGTGGTCTCCCAATTGCTTTGATTGCAGTTGCAAGAGCACTCGGAGATAAGGACTTGGAAGAATGGAGAGAAGCAGCTCGACGACTAGAGATGTCCCAAACTACCAACCTTGATGACGAGGAGGATGTGTTCAGATGTATAAAGCTGAGCTACGATTACTTGAAAGGAAATGACGCCAAGTCATTTTTCTTACTTTGCTGCTTATTCCCGGAGGACTCTGATATCCAAATCGAAGACTTGCTGAAGTATGGTTTTGGGAAAGGATTGTTTCGAGATGCCAATTCAATGCAAGATGCCAGAAGCACAGCACATTTAGTGGCCAAGTACCTTAAAGCTTGTAGCTTGGTTTTGGATGGTGAACAAGATGGATGTGTAAGAATGCATGATGTGATTCGGGACATGGCAATACGAATTGCATCATCTGGGGATGGCCAAGGATTTTTCGTAAAAGCTGGCTGCAACTTAAAGGATTGGCCAACGAATTCACTTGAAGACTACTCTGCAATCTCCCTAATGGGGAATGAAATTTGCAATCTTCCTGACGAGTTGGTATGTCCAAAACTCCAGATTTTTACTACAGTCAAATTTTGAAGTACAGGAGATCCCAGAAGATTTTTTCAAAAGCCCAAATGCATTAAGGGTATTCGACATAAGTAGTACCGAAATTTCTTCATTACCATCATCATTTAATCTCTTAACCAAGCTCCAAACGCTGCATCTAGATCGTTGTCAGTCAATAACGGATGTATCAATTCTCGGAGAACTGAAAAAACTGGAGGTTCTTAGTTTGAGAGAATCTGGTATTGAGGAATTGCCGGAAGAAATTGGACATTTGACCAATTTAAGGATGTTGGATCTCACTATGAGTACCTACATTGCAACAATTCCATCCAATGTGATATCACGGTTGTCCAAATTAGAAGAACTATACATGCAACAGAGTTTCGCTGACTGGGGCAAGAAAGTTGAAGGAGAAGATGACAAAACTAATGCTAGTTTTGATGAGCTAATTAGCTTGTGTTACTTAAAGATTTTGAAGGTTGACATTTCTGATGTAGAATGCCTTCCGAAAAATGTAGGGTTTCTTCGAAATTGGGGAAATTTTGATATATGTATAGCAGAAAACCAATTTTATCGGTCCATGAATGTGCAATTATCAAAGAATACCAGTTCTCCATTTTCAAGAGCCTTGCTTCTGGACACAACAATCAATACGCTGCCGGATTGGTTTAACAGCACAGTGACGGAGAGAGTGGAGAAAATAATCTACATGGAGCCTAGAAGTTTAACTGACATTCTTGTGGAGTACAATCATGGGAAGTTGCACGGACTCAAGTTTTTGCATCTCCAAGAGTGCCGTGAGATGGTAACTTTGATGAACACAGAAACTAGGGTTCTAAATAAGCCTGTGCTCGAGAGCTTGGAAGAGTTGCATGTCTTCTACTGGGACCGCTTGCAAGAGTTATGTGTTGGTGAATTACCGCAGGGGTCGCTTGGAAATCTCAAGTTATTGGAGGTGGAGCAGTGTGAAGGTGTGGCTGATGCGCTTGTTCCATCTAATCTGTTGCAGAGACTACAAAATCTTGAAGTACTAATTGTATGTACCGCTGGTATGGTTGATATATTCAAATCTCTAGGGCTTGAACAAGGAGAAACGGTCTTGACAAAATTGAGAGAGATGAAACTGGAGAATCTACCGGAACTGACAAACATATTGAACGGTCCTGCTCAGCCTGCAATGTTCCATAACCTTAAAACTCTGGCGATTTCCAAGAGCAAGAAATTGAAAACTCTCTTCACATTCGACGTAGCTCAATGTCTGCTGCAATTGGAAGAGCTTTGGGTGGAGGAATGCCATAACTTGGACAAACTTTTCGGCCTAAACGAGGGATTAATTGTGCAGGATGACGAGATCATTTTTCCACAACTGAAGAACTTAGCATTGCAAAGTCTTTCAAAGCTGACAAGCGTACTCGCTGGAAGTGCAACACTTGTGTGCCCTTCATTGGAATACTTGCATGTGCTGGACTGCCCCGTGTTTTTAAACTCTACTTCTGACTTCCACAGCAATATGCAAGTCCAAGTAAACAATGAGCAACATTTCCTCCTCCTAAGGAAAAGGTACATCTCTCTCATGCAGAAATTTTCATTTGTCATTTCCTTTTCTATCTATTTTCTCTATTTCCTTCTAAGGAAATGGCTAAAATCATCACAAATCAAATACCAATTGTTGAACTGATCAAAATTAAATACCAACGACATATCAATCTCACTGGAATTTAAAAATAAATTGAAAAAGGGTCCAATGATCTCCAACAATTGAGTAACTTATTATGATAATGCACCTAATTGTTTATCTTTTGCTTTGAATTTTTTTTAAAGCTTAACATTACAGAATGCTTTATAAATTTGTTTGGAGAGCAAAAACCAAAGAAAATTGCTGAGTTATACTTCTCCTTTATTTTGAATTGACCAAAAGGTTGTGGGAGCAGAGGTAATTAATTTTCCTGGAAGAAGAAGCTGATGAACAAAGAAGCAAGAGGAATTTCTCAAGGTCCACAAGAAGAATAATATTCCTCACATATTTTCCTATATTTTTTTAATAGTACTCCATTTTCGTTTCTACTCAAATAGAAAATATTTTCTTTTGTACCTAAAATACATTTAAGTTTTATATTTTTGGTTGTTGGGAGATTAATGTTTCTAGGTTTTTTTCTGCCTACCCTTCCATCCATGGATGGAGCCAGAAACTTTCTCAAAAGAGGCAACTTGAATGATAAAATGAAATCCACACCCAAATATAATTGTTTGGTTGTGATGGTTATCCCTTATTTGTGTTGTAAGTTGTATCAAAAGCAACTACATTAGCAAAAAAAGAAGTAAGCTTTTCTTGAAGTAGAATCAACCCAAAAATGGGCTGAATTCCTCATCTCTATCAACTTCGAAATATAAAGGTTGGTTTCTTTTCCTTTTCTGAATCAAATTATTCAAGAAACAATGTTAGCATCATGTCCCTTTGACTTTTTCTTTTAATCTCTTTCAACCTTTCTCAAATCTTTGTCAGTACATCCAACATTTGCAATTCCACTTGCCTCATTCTCCATTATTCTGAATTGTTGACTTGTAGATACATTTGCACTACGTAGTCTTTCCATGTAAAGCTTCTTTGCTTACGAAACTTTGCGGTGTAATGTAGTAGGCGTACTCTTGTAGGGGTTGAAAGTACATAATTATGACATTGTTCAAAGTTACAAGTAGACCACTTTGTTCTAGACTTGTCACGAGAAATGTTTAACTTGGCCTTACAACACACATGCGTTGATCCAAGATTCCTTTCTTCTTTGGTTGACGTATTTCTTTGTCATAAGTCTCATCCGGTACACCTTCCTTTAAACAAACAAATTATTTCCAGGTAATTTCATTCATTCCTTTTTTCTTCTTACTTGAACCCATTCTAACACGAAATCCAACTTCCCATGCATAATGATTGTAAAAATCAGATGCTTCCGTTATTGATACAAGTTCTTGGCCAACTTTGGGTTTACGTTCTGTTTGCACTCAAAATATACCCATTTTTACTTATTTGGGCAATTTGGGTAAAATATGGCATTTGGAGGATTAATATGCAAGAAAGCTAACTTGGAAAGATATTTGGCTGCAAGTAGATGGGTTTGGCACTATAATATTGTTTTTCCCATTTGTTTGGATGGTGGAGGTTTGTCAAGCCTTTGTTTAATAAAGATACATGCATGTATTGCAAGTGGATGGGAGAGCCTTTGGATAAGGAACAAATGAAAGAAGCCAACTTGCTTCTTTTAATTGTTAGTTTATTACAAGTGGGAAAACATGTGCTAAAAACATGTGGTGGAGATGCAAATTCCCCTTTTAATATTGTTTCTACGTGCAAGTTGGCAAAAGCAATGCAAGCTACCCAAGTAAGGAAATACAAGCTGCCCAAGCTTCTTTCGGGCAAGTACAAAACCTCAGCAGGAGGGTTTCCTCCAGACCTCTATAAAAGGGAGCAGATACACAAGGATTATAGACACTCAAACAACAAACAAAAGCACAAACTCTGCTCAAACCAGATTTGCCGAAAGCCTTCTTTTATCTAAGTTTATTAGCTCTGCTGCTCACTTGCGGTATCGATCTCATTTATAGCTTTTATGTACTCATTTCCAGCCATATAAATTACAAGCAATCTGCAATATTAGTCACTTTCCTCTGTCATTTATATTTCCAAGCAACCTTGTCATTTACATATTGTTCTATCTCTCCATATAAGTAAAGTCCTTATTTTTAAGGCAAACAAAGAACCTTAATTTGAGCAACTCCCACTCAATGACACAATCTCTTGGTTCGAAGTCAAACTCAGGCGCAACCTCAATCATTCAAATCCCGTCTACTAGCGGCATCTAGTAGTGGCACGCCCGCACCCACCAATCTCGTATGTGAAGTAAATCCCCGGCTTGCCCGCAAGGCACCATGGCGGATTTAGGGAGCAAACACGTTCATCTGCAACTTGTTCTTCCATCGTACAAGTTGCAATTAACATTGAAAAAAATCTTTTTAAAACATAGTTAACTTATTTCAAGAAATAAATTCCTGAAATTTTTTAATCTGAAACCTCATTTATTTATTAATACATTGATATTTTTACACTAAAAGAGGGAGAGTCGGTTAAGTCACACAATAGACAACCTAATTTGGTGTTGAATTCGCCATTCACGAGATTCGAACATAAGACTTCTCATTTCTAAGTGAAGACAAATACCATCAGACCGTAATACTGAGTGGCAAAAAAACAAAAATTAAAACTAAAGCATAAAAAAAATGGAGTTGGGCTTGAACCGGTACCACGTCAATTTTTTTTAAAGCAAGGATATTTAAACACATCTTTTTACTTTCCACACATTCTTGTTAATTTTTTGTCATTGTTCTTTTTCAATTAACTCGATCTAACGGCCAGAAATTAAGAGGGGTGTGTAAAAGGTAAAAATAGGTGTATGGACTGCATCGTTTTTTTTATCAACAAGAAGAAGAATCTAAAATTGAAGAATCAAGTTGAGATGGCGTTAACGAAATCATGCAATCGCTCACGAGTTCATGAACAACTCGAAGAAAGGTTGAAATCAATACAACCACAAAGAAAATACCTTATAGAAGCTTGAAAGAGAATTTTAATTTTCTGACGACTTTACGAAATTTGAAGTATGTGCGCCCTGCTCTCCTTCAACCTACTATAGAAGAAGCTCATAGAAAAAACCTTTATTGGAGAAAGACCTCTGTGTTGACTACAAAGAATTAACGCGTGAACCCTTAATTTTTTTTTTTTAATTAACTCACTCAATTTGTTTAGGTATAACAAGATTATATAACCTCATAATTTTGTTATCATTAAACTGATTTAACAGCTCATATAAAAGACGTCGTCACATGTCCTCAAAATGAATATCTTATAGGGAACTTTAACGAAAAGCACCTGGTACGGTTCACTTTAACGAAAAACCACATTTTTACACTAAAAAGTCAATCTTGGTACTATTCACTTTACCCTTTATTTTGTCCTTATCATTAAAACTCAAAGTTTTCAAGCTCTTTTCATTAGTTTTCCTTATCTTTCTTATAAGAGCATCTATAATAATATATTGTCAAGTGCAAATATGTATCATTAAATCAAACAGTCCTCATATATGGAACCGATTCTATATACACTGAGCTTGCTGAATAGGCGATCCGAGCCGTTGAAATTTGATATAATATCTACAATTATTATAACTTAAGGATCCTTGTTCGTAGCTGTTGGATCAAATTTCAACGATTCGGATTGTTTGCTCAACAGACACAGTTTTATTGGATGCGGAGGAGATCTGGATCTCTCGTATATTAAAAAGGTTTGATGTGGCATGAAGACTCCTCCGCTTAGTCCGCTGACATGGCACGCATGTGAGGCCCACATTTGAGCGCCACATGGATTCCCGAAATAAAAACCAACAGCCAATAGGAAACACGGAACTGAAACTGAACTATTAACTGAAAACATTAGGGCGCCACAAGAATAGTTTGAAGTCCGCGACTTCGCTTCCGACCTATCTCCAATCTCCAATCCGTCTGCCGGAATTCAATTTCTTCGAATTCACTCTCCAAGTCCATTCCCCACTCTCTTCACCCCACATCTCTTCGAAATTCTATTTATGCCCCACAATTAACACAGGTATTCCAATTCCCAATTCGCTCGCATTGACGTCAATCGATCGCCTTCTCCATCACTCGTGCTGCCCTAATTTCAACTTCTATGAGGTTTTGGGACCGCACTGTACTTGAAATTAGGTAAAATTCGGCGAATTGATCTGTTTTGGAGGGTACCAGTGGGTGCAAGTTCAAGTTCTCGATTAAACTGATCGAATTTTCGACGTGGGTTTGCTAAATTGATCGACTTTCGACGTGGGTTTGCTAGGTTTTTAGCGAAAGTCTTGGTTTTGAGGAGCGGTGATGGACTACGAGCTCTCTGATAGCAGTGGTAAGCTAAGTTGAATTTGCTTATCTGTTTTTCAATTTTGGTTTAAGTACCTTTGTTCTTCCATTGTGTAATCTATTGGTTCTCAAGAGTAATTTTGACTCAAATTCTTGAATTTATGTTAGGTGTGGTAGAATTTGGGTTTAATTACTGCTTTTTTACTGTTGAATTCATCATTTTCGTGGGATTGTCTTGAAATTTAACTTCTTTGGTCGACCATGGTAGAATTAGAAGAAAATTTAATTGTAATGTAGTGTACCCGGCTTGTGCTCCGAGGTAATAGGATTTTTTATTCGGCTTTGATCCTTCTTTTACTTCTTATAAGTTGGTTTGGAAGCACCATGTAAGAACTTTAAGTTCTCCCACAACATGTACTTTGATGCCATTATTTGAAGATTGACTCCGATTCGGGTATTCCATTCTTCCCGTCTGTAAGTTGGTCTTGCTTATTGTTTTGAACCTTGTATATTTGCATTCTGAACACTGGGTGGACACCCAAAAGATAGTTACTCTTTTTTGTTGCTTGGAATTGTTTCTTCATCCTCCAGGGATTAAAGTCACTTGTAATTCTCTGTGGAATTTGGTGAATGGTAGTTAGGTCCTACTATTCTGATTCTAGCCAAGGTCACTGTGTTGGAGAAGGTGGCTAATTGTTTAAGAAAAGAAACCTACTGGCATTAAGAGTTTTCATATTGGCCACATTTCGTGTGGTTGTTGTTGGTTTGGTTTTAGCGATTCAGGAAAGTTGATAATTAATGCTAAGTTATGGCTTATATTAGTTTAACCCAGGATGCTTTAGTTTAGTGTAGAAATAATGAAAGATGTATTTTAAGCATATTATAATGTTTTTGTTTTAAATATCTGCAAGGCTGTTATTTAACGTTGATACTGCTCTTGGATGCTATAGCAACATTTTTAGTGGACCGTGCATGCTTCTAGAACCCATCTTCTGTATTATCAGAACATGTTGGTTTGATTTTCATTTTTAGTTCGTTTTATGCTAGTGTCAGGATACATTTTGAGGAAGGAACACATTCTTACGTGGCTTGCCTGGACTCTGGAATATAAGATCCATTTTTCTATATACATATAGTTTATGCCTACTTTGTGAGGCACAGATACAAGAAATAGCATGCTATTATATGTTGCGTGCATATGGACATGTATATAATTGAAAAAGGTGGCTATTGGCGGGGACAAGGGCCTTAGAAATAAAAAGGATTTTATGCTTTGCTATTGCAAAGTTCTTGAAATACCTAAGGGGCTTGTTACTGAAGCTAGAAATAATAGTTTGCTATGCTCTGAAACATTTGCAGGAACGGACGATGACTTTCTGCCGTCTCATCAAAATAGGTTTCAAAGAGGAGGCCGAACTTCTGGGAATGGAAGATCTGCAGCCGTCAGTTCTGCTCCTTTACCTAGGATGCATGGTGACATGGAAACCCAGATTCACCGCATTGAGCAAGAAGCATACTGTTCACTTCTAAGAGCATTTAGTGCTCAATCTGATGCCATCACCTGGGTAGCTGTTTGATTAATTATTTGTTGTTTCTTCTTTTGCTTTTCCTTAGGATCAAAGTATTATTTGTGTAAACTTAGGCCTGAAAGTCAGTTCTAATGTACTTTACAGGATAAGGAAACTTTAATGACAAATCTTAGAAAGGAGCTGAGAGTATCTGATGAGGAGCACAGAGAACTTTTGTCCAGGGTCCAGGCCGATGACATGATCCAGAGAATAAGGTGTGATAATATTATCCCATGTTGGTTTGAGCACCAAATATGTATTACGTTTGGATAGCTCTGCATTTTTTACGAGACATGTTATATTATATACTATTAGGCAATGGAGAAAAAGTGGGCTTCAACCTGGTACACTTAATGCTGCTCAGCCTGTTCATGACCCCCTACCTAGTCCAACTGTTTCAGCATCACGTAAGAAACAGAAAACATCACAGTCCTTATCCCTCGGTGCTCCAACTCCTGAACTGCCTCAATCCATGCAACCATCCTCTTCAGCCTTGAGACGAGGTCCTCCTCCAGGACCTCGGAACAAGAAACCAAAATCTGTAAGTTGAAATAATTCTGGGTTGAGAAAATGGTCCTGTGCTGTTTATATATTCTTAGATTAGTTTTTACCTATTCTTTTTCAATGGAATTTGTTGCCTGCTTTTGAAGTCCACACAGTACCCTTCCGCAAATATTCCTCTAAGGCCCCAGGCTGCTAATTGAGGTCCCGCTGGTGCCTTTTTGGAGAGTGAGCCTGCTGGGGGAGAAACTAGTGATCCGTTAGTAGGAAGAAAGGTTTGGACAAGGTGGCCTGAAGACAACCACTTCTATGAGGCTGTTATAACTAATTTCAACCGTGCTGAGGTATGCTCTTGTTGTGAATTCATCTGAACCTGATTAAGCATTGGTAATTAGCAGTTTGACCACACGACTCCAATATAAATCTTTGTGAAGTCTAACAATTGTCAAACGTTGGCAGGGTCTACATGTTGAGAATATCGCGTTTAAGAATGGGAAAAACAAGAACAAACTCCGGAAATCAAAAAACAAATAACCAAGATAAATAACACCAAGAATTTACGTGGTTCGGCAATATGTGCCTACGCCCATGGGACAGCAACAACAATCTTTCACTATATCAATAATGAGTACAACTAATAATCTTGCCAAATCTCTAGAACTAGGACTTGACGAAAAAACCTGAAAGAACAAGAACAAGAAATACACTATCTCTTTTCTTTTCTCTCGCACACACAATATTCTCTCACTCTAATCCCTTCTCTCACTCTAATCCCTCCCTTGAGTGATATACAACTTATTGTTTTGCTCCCTCTTCAAAACTAGTACAATAGCCCTTTTATATAGACATAATAAAGGTCTTCTTCAATAAGGATTATTAATTCTAATTGGAATCTAGTAATGAATCCTACTCCAATTGAGAAACTAACTCCAATTGGGTAAACAACTCCAACTGGGAAAACAATTTAATCCTCTAAGACTATTAATTCCCAATAGACTTAGGACAACTAATCATGGGCTGGAAAAAACCCAACAATCTCCCCCTCCAGACCATGAGGAAGGTATACCAAATAAGGATTGCTCCTCTTGACCAAACTCCTATTGATCGAACTACTCATTAACCAAGACCCTCTTGATTAGACTTCTCTTGACCAGGCTCCCCCTGATCGCAACACCCATCGTCATTGGCAAAGGCAATTACAGACTTCTTTGCCAGAAAACCATCAATCATCTGCATTAGAGAAGCTCTTCATCGTAAGTCATAACACTTGCAGTATTGTTCCCATCCTTTTGTTCCTTTTTCCATTTACGACAATGCTTCTTCATGTGACCCTTTTTTCCACAATAGTGGCAGTCACCATTGAATCTCGTCTCACTAGAATTTTTGCCTCTTTTCTCTGTGACAAAGAGTTGTCCAGCGCCTGCACCTGAAGCTTTTCTCCTTGTTTCTTCATTAAACATGCTATCCTTAACTGCATCCATAGACAGTACACCATTAGAAGTCGAATTGCTTACAGTTACGACGAAGGTTTCCCAACTATCTGGCAAGGATCCTTGCAATAAAAGTGCTAGCAGCTCTTCTTCAATATTCAAACCCATAGTGGCTACCTAATTGATCACGTTCTGAAAGTTGTTCAAGTGCTCGGTTACACTAACAACTTCCGCATACTTCGTGTTGACAAGCTCTTTGATAAGGAATGCTTTCTTGGCAACGGTCTTCTTCTCAAAGAGGGATTCTAACTTCTTCCAAAGAGTTTGCGCATCAGTTTCTTTAGACACATGGTGATAGATGCTCTCGTCCACCCATTGTCTAATCGTACCAATAGTTTTACGATTCATCTTGGTCCAATTGGCATCAGACATATTTTTTGGCTTGCTCTTAACACCTTCAATTGGCTCATGGAGATCTTTACAATAAAGCATATCCTCCATTCTTGATTTCCACGTAACCCAGTTGGAGCGGGTGAGTTTCATCATAATTGCACCCTCCATTCTAAACGGATATCAGTCGAACCAGGCTCTGATACCACTTGTTGAGAATATTGCGTTTAAGAATGGGAAAAACAAGAACAAACTCCGGAAATCGAAAAACAAATACCCAAGATAAATAACACCAAGAATTTACGTGGTTCGGCAATATGTGCCTACGTCCACGGGACAGCAACAACAATCTTTCATTATATCAATAATGAGTACAACCAATAATCTTGCCAAATCTCTAGAACTAGGACTTGACGAAAAAACCTGAAAAAACAAGAACAAGAAATACACTATCTCTTTTCTTTTCTCTCGCACACACAATATTCTCTCACTCTAATCCCTTGAGTGATATACAACTTATTGTTTTGCTCCTTTTTCAAAACTAGTACAATAGCCCCTTTATATAGACATAATAAAGGTCTTCTTCAATAAGGATTATTAATCTTAATTGGAATCTAGTTATGAATCCTACTCCAATTGAGAAACTAACTCTAATTGGGTAAATAATTCCAACTGGGAAAACAATTTAATCCTCTAAGACTATTAATTCCCAATAGACTTAGGACAACTAATCATGGGCTGGAAAAAACCCAACACTACATGCTCTGGTTTATGATATTGGTACAGTGGATGAGACATGGGAATGGGTCAATCTAAAATAGGTATACTGCAACTGATTCTCGTTTCTTTCGTAGGCCTTTTATCCTTTTGTAGGATATAGTCTGTCTCATAAATAACTAATTTTTTTTTCTTTTCTGTTCTTACGTTTTTGCACATTATGATAAATGAGTTTGTGCGGGTTTATAGCCCTGTGGTGAAGAGAATTTACCTCTATACCCGAGGTCCCAGCTTGATTCCCCCTGCCCTATCCCATCTATTGTTGACTGAAAACTGAAAAAACAAATGATTTCCACTGTCAGGAGAAACTGAAAATACAATGCTATATAAAGCTACGCATTTAGGAGTAAAGTAATTTAATATTTGTTCTTAGCCCTTGGTTTATAAATCCCAACTTTAAAATGCCAAGTATATGTGTCTGTTAATCCGGTTGCGTTTGGAATGGAAATGGTTTTGAATGGTTCTGATTTTCATTAATTTTAATTCATCTGCTAATCTTAGTTTTATGTATTAGATAGCTGTTTAACCTCTCACATTTTTTCTTGTTTAGCCTCTCACAATTTTTGTTGTTTAACCTCTCACGTTTTTTGTTGATTGAATTTGGTTACTAACTTGTGAATGTGATATGCAGAACTCTCTCTGTTGAAACTGGAGACAGGCAATGGTTCTTTTTCAGTCCAAGAGATCGGAAATACCCTAATGGAGGAAGATCAAGCAGGGCAACCAGACACGGGTATTGGAAAGCTACAGGAAAGGATCGTACCTTGTATGCTATTCACGGTCTGTTGGATTGAAGAAGACCTTAGTTTATTACAAAGGCCGTGCACCTAGTGGGGAGCGCACCGATTGGGTGATGCACGAGTATACCTTGGATGAGGAAGAGCTCAAGACATGCCAGAATGTACAGGTATTAATTGGAATAACACCCTTTTCAATATGCTCTTGAATTTCTTTTATTCTGTAAACGAAGGGTTGGTTTGGTATTGCTGTGATTCGAAAAAAGTTGCTTCTGTTGTGCTGTGAGATTAAGCGGTTGTGAAATAAAGCTATAGAGTGTTTGGTAAACTTTTTTGTAAAATGCTTTTGAAAAAAAAAAAAAAACATTATTATAGTGTTTGGTAAACTTTTATGTAAAACAGATGTGAAAAAAAATCGATTTTTCAAAGCTGGGTTTTGCAGCTTCTTGTTTTTGGCCTTTTTTCACCCAAAACTGTGAAAAAAAAGCTGAAGCTGAATGTTTACCAAACACAAAAAAGCTTCCAACTTTTTTTGATATCGACTTTTTTTCAGAATCACCTCAGTACGAAACCAGGCCTAAAACTGACCATTTTGTTCTTCCTTTGTTTTAGCAATACTATGCTCTCTACAAGGTTTACAAAAAACAAACGCGCCTCTGAAACAAGTAGCCCATTAAAATGTGTTCCATTCGGTTTAATAATCAACCTACACTCCAGTTGGACTCTCGTAGCCGAACGTTGCAATAATTAATATTTCTATGGTGGGGAATCTAGCATGATGGTAAAAGAAATGGAATTCGAAGGAACAGGTGGGCTGAAAAGGAAGTAATAAAATAAAGTGATTTAAAGTGAGATAAGAGAGTGAGCTCTCGGCACTGGGACTAGACCTGGTAATTCCTGACACGACTCGATAATTCGACACGATATGACACGAAATTAACAGGTGTTTGGGTCGACACGATAACGAATCGGGTTGTTATTGGGTAACCCGATAAGCACCTGGTAAGATAACGGGTTGGTTCGGGTATACACATGAGTAACATAATACACAAAGCAAAATATTAATTTTATAATTTTGTAATCCTAAAAAAATACTATAATAATTATATATATTAAATTAACAATTTTATACCCCTACAAATTATAATAATTATATATATTAAATTAAATTTTAAAAATTGTTGGATCATTGGATTGGTTGAGATTTAATCTGAGCCGTCCATTGTGCATTAGGTTGGAGTCTTTGGTTGCGGGTTGCAGAAAGAATATGGAGAGCTCAGGAGGAAACCTTGTAAAACGGGTTGTCCTCCCTCTTTATTTCTTCACGTATACTGTTGTATGTATTTGTATAATTATGTGTAACTAATTTCTTTTTGTTCCACACAAATTATCTGTAACAAATTTGTATCATTAGATCGTAGTACTAAGTGACAATTAATTCATAGTTATTGTCTTTCTTTAAAAAAAAAAAAGTAGTTTTATTTATTAATAATTACTGCCTAAAAATAAAAACTTAAAACTTAAAAAGAAATAAATTGTAAAATAAAAAAAATGTAAAATATATATTTTTAATATATAATAAAAAACTAAATAAATAAAATAAAATTTTGGTTTGTTTGATCACAATTAGAGGTAGCATATGGTAATTGGAACAAGGTTTAAGAATCAAGCTCTTGCTGCCTTTGACCCTGAACCAAAGAGAATTGCAGGGAGGTTCGCTAGAGAAAGATATTTAGTGCAAGATCCCAGCCTACGTGACACTTTTCTTGAAAAGTTGTTTCGTGATACTGAGAGCAGCGCAACTATTTTCCAGCCTTTGGCCCTGATCTCAACCATCGCACTTGCCCTACCTGCTGCAGGTCAGCCTTTGAGGAATTCATTGGCTGCAAGAGTCAATGCACTGCCAAGGTGCATTGTATACCTAGAACACATCCTCAACATTTTGCCATCCTTTCATGGGTTGCCAAACAGCGACCCTAACATGCATTTGACTGATTTTCTTGAAGCATGTGATAACACCATAATAAGAGGTTGCTTGTTTCCTTTCTCTATGAAGGACAAAGCCAAGACGTGGCTACACTCTCTTCCTACCAATAACATGTCAACTTGGACACAGTTGCAAGAAAAGTTTCTCAACAAGTTCTTTCCATCTTTCAAGACTCTTGCACTTTAAGAAGGAGATATTGGCATTCACCCAAAAGCCAAACAAATATTTCCATGAAGCGTGGGAACGTTACAATGAGCTGTAAGTAAAATGTCCTCATGCTGGGTTAATTCTGACCTTCAAATGAACATCTTTTAAGATGGTCTCAATGTCACCACCAAAAGTCAAGTGAAGCATCTGTTGGAGGGTCACTACTGTCGAAATTAGCAAGGGAAGCTTTTGAGTTGTATGATATGATGGCTCTAGAATCCCAACAATGGACAGAAGAACAAACACAAAAGAGGGGAGTTTTCGAAATTTCTCAAGGTTATCCTAATGTTTCTACCCAAAATTTTAAGTTGGATAAAACTCTCAACGCCAAGTTTGATGCCTTAATGCATGGCTCCTCCGTGCCCAATGTCCAAGAAGATTGTGTCATTTGTAGTGTGACAACTCATGACATTATTCAGTGCCCCAACAAGGATGTTAACCTAAGCTCATGCAAGAGCATGTCAATATGGTAAATAATTATAATATACCTAAGAATGACCCTTTTTCCAATACATATAATCCGGGGTGGAGGCACCATCCCATTCTTAATTGGGGTGGCAACGAACAGGCTTGCCAATACCAACATCCCCACCAGCCAACCAATGAGCCAAGTAAGCCATCTCTTAAAAACCAAATGTCCCAGCTTGCTCAACATATAGCCATCCCTTCTAATAACGTCAGCAACTTCATTCAATCCAGACAGAAACAACGAGTGTCGAAGTGTTACCTGAAGTGTTACCTGCAAAAATCAGATAATTGATACTTCTTGCAAGAATCACTTTAAGTGCTCTTGAAATCCAAAAACACTTCCATTGAAAAGCGCTTTCAGTCATTTTATAAGTACTTAATGAATATTAAATATTAAAAAAAAAATCATGATGAATGGAAATATAAATTAAGTGGATATGAGAAAATAGACATATGAGTGGACGTAGCAGCACACTTCAAGATGAAATTGCATTTGCAAACGAAAATGATTTTAGACATGTTAATGATGCAGTGAATTCAGAGAAGATCGAGGCTAGGTTTGAGATAAATAAAACCTTGAGGCCATAGTTTGCTCGAATATTAACTTAAGCATCTCAAGTGAACGCTTCACTCTGATGAGAATTGTCGAAGCACCACTTTGGTGCTTAAGGGTGTGTTTGTTTGAGCTCCTTAGGTTTCATTGGACTAGACTGGCTTACTAGTCTATGTTTGGTTTGATCCGGGACTGTCTTTAATGGGATTAAGTCGGACTCGTTCCGACTAAAGGCTTCGCTACCTCATCTTAGCTAGGACCCCTGAAAAGGTTGGGATTGCTAATCCCACCTCTCTAATATCTGCATCGTTTGCGATCTGCAACCATGTGTTGCCAAATCCAGTCATCAAATCCTATGGTCTCGTCGATCTCCATCATCCCCGCAAACCCATCACCAAATCTTGTCGTCTTGCTGATCTCCTTCGTCTCGCAAACCCAACCTTCTATTTGCTTCAAATTGATTTCTCTCCCTCTTATGAAACCCAACCCACAACCCATATTTCCCCTCTTTGCTTCAAGAAGGAATACCTAGTTGGATTTGCTTTGGATTTAATCCAACCCCAAGAACTGAAATTGTAATCTCAAAGAACTGAAATTTAAATATCAAAACAATTTCAAAGTTTCATATTTTGAAGAAGAGAAGAACAGAGCAAAGTAATTTGAGTGAAAATGGCGAAAAAGAAAGAGTAGGGAGGGTGACAATGGACGAAGAAAAAAGAGAGTAAAAATGAGAAAGGGCAGGAAGACCATGGGCGGAGAAAAAGAGAGGTTAAGAGAGAGGAAGAAATTATAAAAGAATAAATAAATATATTAATATTAAAATATTAATAGATATTGGTTAAATAATATAATATTAAAGTTTATTAATTATCCTATTTTTTAGTCTGACACTGCACCAAACGCTTCACTAAGTTAATCCAACTTAGTCTAGTCTAAGCCAGTCCAGCTTAGTCCCTAAAACTAATCCAATCCGAGATAATCCGGTGCAACAAACACACCCTAATAGTATTATGTTGTATTTCACAGTCAAGCAAATCTTCTAGGGCATTTTACCGACTTTCCTGCCTTTTCAATCCCACTAACCTGGCAACCACATTAATCAAAATTTAATTTAAAAAAAATAAAAATACAAATAAACCAAAGCTCACATTCAAAGGGAAGTATATATGAACAAAATCAAAAGGAAAATATAAATAATTAAGATCATCTTTGAAATATGTAAAATGTCTGAAAATGTGTGTATTATATAACTTAAAAATATATTTGAAATTCAATGCACCGGAATTTCAATATCGAAATTACTCACCCTCACCAGAAGAAGTAAAAAAAGTAGTATATTTTCATTTTTACATCTCATGCATCACCATACATAAGAATAATAAGAAATATTTGGGAATTTATATAATTGAGTTTTTTATTTAGTATTTTTTCCTTCCTTTTATTATTTTAACGCAATGAATAAAAATTTCATCACATTCAATATTTAAAAAAAAATCAATAACAGAAAAAGTTAGATGCATTTCATTTTCATCATGAAATTTATATTCTCCTACTAGAGCAAAACATGTCTCTAGAGTTATAAAATGTTCATTTACATTCTCAATTTTACATCCTTGTCCTTGCACTGGAAGTTGCTCTAAGAAACTAAATTAGCTATAACTTGTAAACCATTAAATCATCATGTTCAATATCATAGTGTATATGGTGTTGGATTTCCACTCATTTCAAGTTTGAATCCCTCTCTCTTAACTTATTATAATAGTTTAAAACCCTCCCTCTCCCATTAATAATAATAAATTTTTTTATAAAAAAATCCATTAAATCAAAAGGAAATATGAGCAAATCAATTATAAAGTTGAGGAACACTGAATAAACAATAAGGACGTACATAAAATAAAATTTGGTCCCCTTTTAAATAAAATCTGGAGACTCAAGTTGGACAACTTGTTACAAAGTTCAACAAAAGAGAGAATTGAAGGTTTCCAAGTCAACCTTAGCAAAATCCAAGAGGGATGGAACACTGCAAGGTGATAAGGACTCTGAGAAGTGGCAAAAGTTGACAATAAAGAAGTTGTTCACCATGAGGATGAATTGGACCAAGAAGAGCCATTGAAGAAGCGCCAGTAAATTGCAAACTCTCAACCAGGAGCTGTTTTCGTAGCTGATCCTACAACAAGTGATGTAGTGCAATCTGAAGTGCTTTCTTGACCTAAATCTCATGCAAATAAGGAAAAAGGATCTTGACACTTTGTTTGCACCTTATGATATGCCACCATACGTTCCACCTTTGCCATTTCCACAAAGGCAACAACAACATTCCAAGGATCAACAAGCCACTGATTTCATGAAAACTTTGGCTAAGGTTCAAATCAACTCGCCTTTATTGGATGCTATCAAAATGATCCCATCATATGCCAAATTTCTGAAGGAGCTGTGTTCCAATAAGAAAAAGTTATTGGAATATATGAGAAGGTAGTTCTAACGGAGCAATGCAGTGATGTCCTACTACATAAGCTACCACCCAAGAAGAAAGATCCAAGTGTTGATAGACTTAGGTGATAGTGTTAACCTTATGCCTTATTATGTGTTTAAGAAATTAGGTAAATGAGAACTCAAGCCAACATATGTGAGTCTTCAATTAGCGGACAGGTCTATGAAATATCCCTTGGGTATTTTGGAAGATGTAATTATTAAGGTGGATCGATTCCATCTTCCAGCTTTTTTCATTGTACTTGACATGGAAGAAAGACAAGGGAGTGCCACTCATATTGGGCCGACCATCCATGGCCACTGCCCGAACACTTATTGATGTGGAAGCAAGTACATTGACCTTAAGAGTGCAAGGAAATTCAGTTGTGCTCAAACTCTTTGAAGCTGTCAAGTGTCCTCTCAAATCAGAGAAGTGTTTTCATATTGATATCTTGGATGGGATTGTGCATGCAAACTTTGCCTCACGATCATCCAATGATGAACCATTAAATTGCCTCATTAACCAAAGATGCTAATTCACATACGAAAGAAAATGCGGTGAACCTCATTGTTGTAGTAGATAGTACACCAGTTCAGAATTCAAAGTGGTGACATGTGTATGAAAGCCTTGGAGGGCCTAAGCAACCTCTTCTTCCTTCAAGCGAGCGAACTCCCAAGTTAGAGCTCAAGCCTTTGCCAATCCACCTTGGGTATGCTTATCTAAGAGAGAAGCAGAAGCTACATCCAAATGAAAACGAAGAAATAAGGAATGATGCATAGGAGAATGTAGAAATTTATAAGGATAAAGCCAAGAAGTTTCATGATGCTCACATCTGTCGAAAAGAATTTCATCCCGAATAGAAAGTTTTGCGCTTTAACTCAAGGGTGAAGCTGTTCCCAAGAAAGCTCAAATCACGTTGGAAAGGCCCATAACTTGTCGTACTGGTCCATCCTTAGGGAGCTGTGGATATTCAAAATATGCACACCGGTTTTGTTTTCAAAGTTCAGGGACACCGCTTAAAGTTGTTCAATGAGTCCCCTTATGATCTTGCTACAGATTCCATCACTTTGATGGATGTTAGTTGAGATGAATTGCCAACAGGATGTTTAGCTCTACATATTAATTAAAACACTTCTTGGGAGGCAACCAAAGCTTTCTATCTTTTCTTTTCAAGTTTGAAGATTTCTGTATTTTGAGTGTTTAATTCTTTCTTTTGATCTTGTGTTGTAGATAGTTCTTTTGACGTTTCCAGAAAAACTTTCTGGAAGTTTCTTGGGAAAAGGTACATCTCTCTCGTGCATAAATTTCATCAGTCTTTTCCTTTTCATTCTTTTCTCTATATCCTTCTTTTAAAGCTGAACATTACAGAAACAGTTCTAAATATGTTTGGAGTGCAAAAACCAAAGCAAATTGCTGACTTATACTTCTCCTTTATTTTGAATTGACCAAAAGGTTTTGGGAGCAGAGGTAATTAATTTTCCTAGAAGAAGAAGCTGATGAACAAAGAAGCAAGAGAGGAGATTTTTCCAGGTCCACAAGAAGAATAATATTCCTCACATATTTTCCTATATATCTTTTAAAAATACATCCATTTTTGTTTCTACTCAAGTAGAAAATATTTTCTTTTGCACCTAAGATACATTTAATTTATTCTTTTTTCTTTCTTTTTTGTTTGGTTGTTGGGAGAGTAATGTTTCTTGAATTTTTCTGCATACCCTTTCATTAATGGACGGAGCTAGAAACTTTCGATAATAAGGACAATTCGAATGATTAAATTCAATTAAACATTTGATTTTGATATATATACTTTATCGTGAACAATATGTCACAATTTTGAATTTTTTGCATCAGCACGTATAACATAAACACATTCCTTTTCGTCCTCCCTTATAACATCACACTTTAAATAAGCAGTATATTAAATCATTTCATCCTGGAACTTTAAAAATATTGTTTCTGTGTATAAACCATGCATATGCTTTTCAACTGGAAATAATGGCTTCAAATCATGTTACAAAATCCCATAAAGAGTTGCGTTTTGAAACATATTTCTTGAAGAAAGTATCCCCACTTTCAACTCTGTAACTACTCCTGCAGAAATATATGCATGCAAAATGCGGAACCTTATTGCTTTCGGAGTTGTATCTTAGGTGCAGCCATTCGTGATTCTCCAATGCACTATGTTGCAATAATGCATGCTTCCATCTTTCTTCACATTTTTCAGTAGTCTCGAACTCGTAGACACGAGCTTCAAAATGTGGCAGATAAGCGGAAAACATTGGGCCAAATATAGTTGTCAAGGTCCTCTTTTTCTCTAGAGGCGTGTATTTGGTATGACCCAAAACGGACAAAGGATGGAGAAACCCTGCAAACAATTGCACCAGGCTCCTCTTTTGGACTGCCAGTGCAAATAAGGACATGAGGAATTTCTTTTAACAAGAGAACATGAGGAACATGTATTCCTAAAATTTATTCCTTTTTGAGCAAGATATTGATATTTTAGCATAAGATCAAAGCAAGTAGGCTAATAATATCAAAGAACAAAGAGAAATTCTTTTAACAAGAGAACATGAGGAACATATATTCCTAAAATTTATTCCTTTTCGAGCAAGATATTGATATTTTAGCATAAGATCAAAGCAAGTAGGCTAATAATATCAAAGAACAAAGAGAAATTATCTCAATAGGGAAAGATCAAAGCAAGTAGGCTAATAATATCAAAGAACAAAGAGAAATTATCTCAATAGGGAAAGATCAAAGCAAGTAGGCTAATAATATCAAAGAACAAAGAGAAATTATCTCAATAGGGAACAAAATCGTGTATGGTTCTCACAGTAAAACATGATTAGGTATAAAAATACTCATTGCATAGAAATCTAATTAACACACTCATAGAACATGTCGCGCGTGACAAATTTTCCTGTGGTCACAAGACAGAGAGCTCGAGTTGTTGGAATTCCCAGATTATGCATTGCTTCACTCCAGAGGAATTCCTGGATGCTACTACGAAGCACAGCAAGGCCATCTGCAAACCGACTGTAAGGAGTCTTTCCAGCACCTTTAAGCTGAAGTTCCCACCTTTCTGACTTAGAATTAAGAACCTCCCCAAGAGTAATAGCCCACCCATCTCCCAACTGACCAGCCCACATGCCGAATTGATGTCCACCATAGCATTGAGCATAAGGGAACCTGCATAAAATAAAGCATCCATCCAGGCTGCATGAAAAAATACAAGAAGCCCAAATTCGAGTCTCATAACATAATATTCATAGAAGCACTTACGATCCCACTGAATGAGACGCCCAGAGAATATAAGCAGAAAATCTGGCCTTTCAAATCTGTAACTCCAAACAAGGTGGCAAATTAGTCCCATGAAACATGGCATACCACACATGCAAGACATACGTACTCATGCATCATTCATCAAAGTGAAGTATGGTATATCAGTCAATGGTTCAAGGTACAGTAAGTAAACCAAAGCAATCATCCGAGATACAAGATGAAAAACACATGTAGATAGCAAGCAATAGCCTCAGCAAAATATCAGAACTCGAAGAAAAGGAAATTTCAATCAATAACAGAAATCTTGAGAAAACATGTGGAAATTTGGTGACTCCATATGTACAAATATCTGGGGGACTAATTTAGCATATTTCCACATACGAGTTATAATAGTGTCATGTTATTTACAAACTGATCTAATTTCCTAAAGTGCCAACCACAAGGTTCTTGTGCAGAGGTAAAAACAGATCCACATTCGACATGAAGGACCATCAAAATCATTACCCATAATATATGCTGTCAAACACATTTTTTTTTTTGTTCTTTCTGATTCTACTAAACTCACTCTTAAGATGAAGTTTATTTTCTCATCCATGTTCACAAAAAGCATTAACACTTGATGTTCCCTGGAGCACAAGAAACACGAATACTCACTCTTTAGGAGGATCTATCCATCTTTGGCACAATTCCATCAAAGCAAGAGATCTATCACAATCAACCCTATCAATGACACAATTCCATTGCCAAATCAAGCGAGCTCGATAAGAAGGATCTATCCGTCTTTCACGATTCTAATTACAACATAACACCCCCTCAGCTAGTAAAAATCAACTGGAGCTCAAAGCAAGAAATCAAATCACAATCAAACCTATCAATGGCACAGTTCCATAGCCAATTTAAGCTAACCCAACTAACAACACTCGGACTGTAAGCCACTCAGCAATTTCTTGATTAGTAAGTATAAATTTCTAAGCAGTTATGAATATATTTAACAACTTTTCTGATTTGGGCCCGAAACAACAGCGCAAAAGTGAAAGCCTTTAACTGGTACACAAACACACACCCCACATATGTTTCATTTTCTTGTTTGGTTTTCCTCCACTTTCTCAGCAACCAAACAGAACCCAATTCACAACACACAAATCGTAAGTCACTTGGCGATTTCTCGATTGAGTAACTACAATGTTCAAAGAATTTATGGTTAAATTTAACAACTTTTCCGAGTTGGCACAATTCAAAAACGCAAGTGGAAGCCTTGAGCTAGTAGCAAACACGTGACACACCCCACATGTACGATAAACTTTCCTTTTTCCTCCACTTTCTCAGCAACCAAACAGAAAATAACCCAATTCCTAATACACATAAAAAATCAAAGCTAATCTCTCGTGGAATGGTATCAGTCCGGGGATCGCCAGGTAGCTCTCCGGTAAACAAGTTGTCCCAATTTAGATCTTCGAGCTTCAACCTAACCCTCTGAGTGTTACTTACACCATCTTCTCATCGCCGGCCAAGCTCTGATTCTGCAAATCGTGCGTCACGGAGTCGACCGACGCGGCGCTGGCCTCCGGCGGGGGTGAGTCCATGGGAGCTTGCTGTTGGCTGCGGCCGGAGCTGAGGTTGCATGCGAGGAGGGGCAGCCTGGGAATTCCAAAGTGGTTGGAGGGGTAAAATGGGAATTTGGAAGGGCGACGGCGGAAGTTGAGGCCCTTGAGGGCGGTAGAGAGAGAGAGGCGTGGGAGGGGAAGGGAGGAGAGTGAGGAGGAGGCTTTAGAGGAGAAATGCGATAGGATTTACATTTTCTTCTGTCGGGATTTTTTGTCTATCTAAATAAAATTTGAGTAAAATTGATATATAACCATTGTTCTAAAAAATTTCGACTAGCGCTACACAGTTCATGTGTAGGCGTTAATTGGTCACCATTTGATTAATATATAGGCATGTAAAATTAAGAAAGAGAGTTTAGATCTGTTTAGACTCTGTCTAAACTTTCTTAAGTCGCGACTCTTATTTTGACAGAAAATAGATAACTTTCATTTTGCATTTTATTTTTATAATAAATTATAAAAGACTTGTTGAATATTTAGATCAACACTCATTATATGTTTGTTTCACATGTTTTCAATGTGTTATAATACTTTATAATCTTTATGTCATTCTGTTTTACAATTTATGTATCAAATACAATTATGTATTTTTTTAATATAAATAGATATTTATTTATATATTATATAATAAATTTAATTAAAAAAACGTCTAGGCTGCCCCGCCTAAACTCTTAAACGTTATATCTTTGCTCACTGCCTGACTAGCGCTTAACGCCTTTTAAAACTTGGAATATAACTACAATTTTGTGAGCCAATTTTATAAATAATCCACTTTATTTGTTACGATTGAAATAGGTCCGATGAGTCCCACATCTTTATTTCTATACCAAATTTATCACACAAGTATTTAATCTCTTGATTTCAAGATTATTTTTCTTTTTCTTTTCTGAAACATTTAAAGAATAAAATAATCCTAAACCATAGGATTGCGGGTAAAAATTTAATCTCCTAAATCATTGCAACGTTGATGGATTCGCAGTGGCCTTAGAAGCAAAAAATTCCGAGGCTCCCATCGTCTGTATGTATACAAGGATTGATATTTCAAGTTAATTGGGGCTATTCATCTCCTATTTCTTTTTCTTTTTCATATTTTCCCTCTTGATTCCTAATTATTTATTGTCTCAATGGATTAAAGTTTCCTACATATAGGAATACTAGAGAAATGCTAAGCGGATTTTCTGAAAGTGGGATTTTTCATGTATTCTCTGTCACTTCATAGTTTAACGTCAATTATAGTAACAACATTATAAAACACTATGCAAAAAAATAAAAATAAATAAATAACAGAAAGTCTATGGAAAGTCTCATTGTTGAGAAAGTCTCTTTAACATTTCTCGGCATAGTAATCTGATTAGTGCATTGTTTGCGTGGAAATTTGCATATGCATTTCCATGCCGTTTGAATAAAGCATCTTACCCAACTAAAAAGAAAACAAAATGCTCCATTGGTTTCCCTTGCTCATGACTTAATTAAACCACTGAGAATCAACTTAGATAAGTGGCCATGTGTCCATCTGCAAAATTATTGTGGCTTTGCTTTTAAAGTCAAGAAAAAGACTTACATTTTTTAGGGCCCTTGTGTTCAGGCGGCTGAGGCTCTAGCCATTCTTCGTGGTTGTGAGTTGGGTCACTCTTTGAGTCTCACTCGTGTGGTTATTGAATCTGATTCCTTGCAGTCTATTTCGTGTTTATAGGGTAGCATCACAAATGACAGTGGGAGGCGTTTCCAATCTTATCCAAGTGCAGGCAAGTTGGTAATTCTTTCCATGACTGTTGCTGGTCTTGGACTCCAAGATCAGCCAATATGGCGGCCGATAGGTTGGCGTCGCACAGGTGTGTGGAGATGTGTGATTTTATTTGGGTTGACCGACCCCCATCTTCACTTGTTGATGTACTTAATAAAGATGGACTACCTTGCCCACATTAGTTTTATTCGGTTGTGCAAGGGGTGACACTCCTGCTTCCTGGTAGTGTCGAGTTTTCTTCCCCTTGCACTTCCGGCTTTGTTTTTTGGTTGTTTGCCTCATTGTGGGCTTTCGGTGTATGCTTTGGCATCTTTGCCCTGGCTATAAATTCCAGTTTACCAAAAAAAAAAAAAAAAAGACTTACATATAATTGTGAAAAAAATCAACATGGTATGCCATCTAAGTACTAGTACTACCGCATTTAACAGTAATTGCTATCAACTTAGATAAGTGGCCATGTGTCCATCTGCAAAATCTTTTTAAGTCAAGAAAAAGACTTGCATATAATTGTGAAAAAAATCAACATGGTATGCCATCTAAGTACTAGTACTACTGCATTTAACATTAATTGCTTTTTGTTTAGGTAAATAAATTCATTGAAAAATCAAAAGTGCACAATTACGAATGCTGAATGAAATAATTGTTGATATGATTTTACAATTAATTTTAATCTGAATCGACTCCAGTTGAAATGGTTGTTGTCATCTGATAGTTAAATTTTCTAGGTTCTCTTCTTAATTTGGAAAACTTTTTTCCTACTTGTTTTATAATCATTTCAATTTTCAAAAATGTTAAATAAAAAAGGCAAGTAAAAAAAAACTAATTTTTGAAGGAAATTGACAATCGCACACAAATTTAGCTATTTACACACTCCTACTTAATTATAGTCGTGGATTCTATTTGGTTTATTCAATTTAATATCTAGAAATAGTCACTTAGTAATATGGTCTAGTAGTAGCAATAATGTGATTCAAATTCTTCTTTGGTAAGAATAGAACCTAAAATGTCTCACTTACAACTGAAGAGAAATATCACTAAACCGTAGTACTAAGTGACAATTCACCTCCCATTTTGAAAACTCAAAAAAACTATCAATTTTTATTTTTGGAAAACTAAAAATAGTTACCAAATATATATTAAGTTTCATTTTTTAATAAAAGTGAAAATTGAAACTGAAAACGAAATTATCATTTAGTGGCTCCTATTTTCGTTATTCACGAATTTCCTTAACTTGATTGCATCTAAAAACCTGTCTAGTGATTACAAGTATTGTGGGACTCATTGTCAAAGTATGTAAAACCTTCTTTTTTACCAAAAAAAAAAAAGTATGTAAACCTTCAAACGTGAACTATTTTCACTCACTACTACTGATATTTCAGTCTATATATTGTGTACATGAAAGCAAAGATTTCAAATTTCAAATATTGTGGACAAATATCTAAAACCCACCTACCTTTTTAAACCTACTTTTTTAGTGAGAACTACAACGATACGAAGGGACATGTGAATTAATATAAATTGAAAGACAAGGCTCACTATCTCTTAGCATAAGATTTGAAAACCCTAGTTGAAGCATGTCTCACCGGTGTGGCTTTTATGCTACGCATTATTCAATAGTATGGGAGTTTTAATTGTTATATTTGATTTTTGCAACTATTTACATTTTTATTTTCAACCTCAACCAACCATGTCTCACATCAAAAACCTAGAAAACCTTGGTTCATTAGTAGTGGGTCACTAGATTGTCTCTTCCTTAATTGGGACAATAAATTTGTTAAAAAACTAAAGTTTCAAGTTAACCCAACTATATATTGGTTTGTACATGTGGTCAATGTCAATGTTCAACTAGTAGTGAGCTAATAAACCATCTCTAAAACCTCAATTGAAGCATGCTCCGCATCAAAAAGTTAAAAACCTCGATTGGGGCACTATATTGTCTTTACCCAAATTGGAACAATGAATTTAAAACGCTGAAGTCACGGGTTGGCCCAACTATTGGTTTGCACATGTGACCAGTATTTTGTTTGATTAGTAGTAAGCTGATGAACCATCTATAACTTTCATGCCCTGTTTCTAAAGTCATCAAAGTCGGAAAGGAATAATCCAAAAACCTTGTATGGGCCTCTTGTGAAACTGATGCTTTGAAGTCTATCTACATTTTCTACACTTATTTCTCTAGTATATGTAATGGATCTTAGCGACGACTAACTTCTTTGGCATTATTCCTGACCAGATTCCAGCCTCACCAACTTGGAGAGACGATTTAGACGTCTCAGGCAATCATCTATCCGACAGAATCCTAGCGTCACTATCGGAGTCTTCGTCCAAGACCTCAATGCACTACCGTTGAGGGCAACCCGAGACTTCGCCTCAATGCACTGCTATTGAGGGCAACCCGATACTTCGCAGGTCCCCACTTTCGAATTAGTGCAAGTAATAATACAACTAAGAATATGGAAGATGTATGTGAAAATTGTAAATGTTAAGACTGAATCTCACATTAAGTAATTAGGAAAACTAATGAAAATGGCTTGAAAACTTTGAGTTTTAATGATAAGGACAAAATAAAGGATAAAGTGAATAGTATCAGGATTGACTTTTTAGTGTAAAAATGTGGTTTTTCGTTAAAGTGAACAGTACCGGGTGCTTTTCGTTAAAGTTCCCGTAGTAATGTAGGTTACTCCTCGTATTGTCAATTGGTTGTATAGTGAAACATCAACTATTTTCAATAAATTTACCAGTCTTTGCACCCAGAAGGTGTTGCGCCACTTTAACAAAGAAATAGCGAAGCCTTCGAGTACTCCTATGGTTGTTCAATCGCTAGATGCAAAACGAGATCCTTCCTTTCCAAATGAGGATGAAGTTCCTTATCTAAGTGCGATAGGCGCTTTATTGTACTTAGCTCAATGCACTAGACTCGACATCTCTTTCGTTGTTAATCTTTTGGCAAGATACAATAATTCACCAACATGCAGACATTGGACTGGTGTTAAAGACATCTTTCGTTACCTTAAGAGTACTACGGATTTGGGTTTGCTATATCCCTACGGATCCTCGAGTGATGCCGCACCCCATTATCTCGAGTCAATTCTCACCTTGTTGGTTATGTCGACGTATGATACTTATCTGATCCGCACAAGTTCTCAAAAGGGTTATGTCATTACTGTTGGACGCACCGCAATCTCTTGGAGGTCAACTAAACATACCTTAGCAGCCACTTTGTCTAACCATGCTGAAATTCTTGCCTTACATGAAGCAACTTGGGAATTCTTTTGGCTGAGAGCAATTGTGGGCCATATTTGAAGCTCTTACGATCTTTACCTCGTCATAGACGTCCCAGCGACGATCTATGAAGACAACGTAGCATGTATCGAACAGCTCAAGAAGGGTTACATCAAAGGAGACAACACCAAGCACATTGTGCCAAAGTTTTTCTTCTCACATCAACAATAAGAGCATCATAAGATTGAAGTCATGCAAATCCATTCATTTGACTTTGCATTACTCACGCATTTTTCCTTGGATTGTGGATTTTGTCCCTACTCGGGTTTTTACCATAGCCTTAGGGTTTTTTTGTGTAAGACTTACTTCCTTATGCAAGTTCCTACCTTATTTGAGAATAGCGTGTTCCCAGAATCAGTGCCGACGAGTCGACTTCCTCAACTCTACATGATGCCGAATCTACTTAAGTATTTACACACTCAAGGGGGAGTGTTATAAACTTCTTATTTAAGTGTGATTTTGTAAATATTAGATTAGATTTGATTCTAGTTATTCTTTCCTATTATGACTTGTATTCCTTGGAGGAGAATGATTTCTTTTCTTCTCTCTCTTATTACTATAAAAAAAGGCACTGCGTAGGGGGAATAACATATTCTCTACACAACCTTACAAACACATCTCTCTCTATATTTTCTCTGTGCCGTCAACCCTCTCTCCCTGTCAGTTAAATATAGGCCACAACATATTACATATATTAAAAACAATATTTTAAAATCATAATATAACAAAGTACTTATGTTCATCAATTTCATTCACCATATATAATAATTATAACACAAACATAATCAATTAAATTGTTATAATTCAGGGTTTGAAAATAAACATACCCCTAAAATGAGGGGAACAAAGAAATGAAAAAAAAGTTTTGCTACATCCTAGCAAAATGTATAGCTGTTTTGATAAAGTTGTATAGTTGTTTTGACCTTAGAGTAATGGATTTGGATCCCATCCAGATTCAAATTGTGGGGATCCTACAGATCCTCACATCTTTGTCATTTATAATATATCGTGCAGTAAAAAAATTATTTAAATTTTATCATTTAAAATTAAATACAAATAGTACCTAATGAAAATTAGGTGCACAATATACGAGGAACAGTTAGGATGTGAGGATTCCTAAGATCCCCGTAAAGAGGATCTAGGAAGGATCTTCATCCTAGAGTAATTGTTTTGCATGGGTCCCACTAATAAAACTAATAAAAAATTAAAAGTTGGAAATTAAAAAGAATAATGCTAAAGAGACCAAATTTTTAAATCAAATATGCAAACCAAAAGCAAATTTCTCCAAAGAACCAAAAGCAAATAGGATAATGGCTCTCTCTTCCCCGTCTTCTTCTCCAAAGAACCAAAAGCAAATTTCTCTCTTTCCTCTACTATCCCATTTCTGATTAAACTCCCTATCTGAAAAATGCATATCCGATTAGAAGATGACTTACTTTTTCCTGACGGCTAGCCTGAAAAAGACTAGCGGATCTGAATCTACCTCCCTGTGTGAAGATCTATGACTTTTGAAAGAGCCTAGCGGATATGAATTTGCCTCCTAGCCTGAAATAGCCTAACAAAATTCCGTTGACCGTGTCCGTGGCATGTACAAAGGTGTCTTGACCGTGTCCAAATCGTTAACTGTGTCCAACCTATATTGGGGGCGTGTCCGACACTCCGACACACCTAGACAACAAGAATCTCGATGGGTTTAGAAAAAGGAAAACTAATGAAAATGGCTTGAAAACTTTGAGTTTTAACGATAAAGACAAAATAAAGGGTAAAATGAATAGTACCAAGTTTGACATTTTAGTGTATAAATGTGGTTTTTCGTTAAAGTGAATAGTACCGTGGGCTTTTCGTTAAAACTCCCTTTAGAAAAAGAGTAGAATTTAGTCATTAAGGGTATATTAGTAATTGCATATCAAATTTTGATTATAATTATCATAAATTTAAGGACAATACTTGGATACAGGCTGTTCAGTACCCAAAATACTAACCTAATGACATGGCCCAGTAATATTAAAACACTTGTCATTTAAAACTCTTCCCAAACACTGGTTATCTTGTTAACCAAACACCCAAACTTTATCTTGAACCAACATCCAAACACCCATCATCTTCCTTCTTTCCCAGACCCGGCACCCCAACCGCTTTCCGTCAATCTCATCCCCACACATCCTCCCTCAACCTCTCCTTTATCCATCCCAGCTGCATCTCCTTCCCGTCGATCCCATTCCCACCCCCTCCTTCGTTGTCTCGACCGTAATCCCTTGTTCGAGTCTCCTTCGGACCTCTGTTAATCCCATTCACAACCCACAAACATGGAGAAAAAGAAGACCCATCCCCACGGATCTGGAATTATGTGTTATTGATTGTGAATGAAAAATTTATCAGTAGTAAAGAGATCTAAGTCCCCTGGGGTTGGTAAGAGGAGGATGGTGCATAAGGGCAACAAACAAGAAGGTTCGAAACTTGCCTTCTGGGAGGAAGGCCATTAAAATGGTCTATAAAAATGGGTCTCTGTTTCTCCATGGTTCAAGTCAGAGAGATGATAGCTGTTTGGTTGCAAGAATAGTAGATACTAGAAAGGAACGCCCCGTGCCATTCTGCGGGATTGAAAGCCGTACGGAAAGTTTGTATATAGTACTATTTACATACAAATGATAATACTTGATGTGTACATACTATTTGCATACAAAAGATTTGATAGATAGCCTTATTAAAAATCGTACAAAATCTATAAACAATCAGATTGAGAGGCATAACCGCATCTTGACTTTGAACTCTCTTGCATATTTTACAAAAATTAAAGACTAAATTAAATATAAAAAAATCCAACAAAATTTAATCACAAATTTCATCTGGGTAATTATCAAAATCGAAAAAAAAAGAAGAAGATTAAAAGGGTCAAAGGAAAGAATTAGGAGAAGAGTTAAATACTAATAAATCATAGAAATTTGTGATTAATGACTAAGAGTTAAATACTAAAAAAAAATTGAACAAAATTTAATCACAAATTTCATCTGGGTAATCTCCTACTTCGTAAATTTGTAAGGCCTAATGACTATGAGTTAATTTGGAGATTTGATATAACATCTCAAAAATTGAATGAATAATTCAAATAAAATGAAATCAAATTAAAAGAACCCATAACTTCAGAATTTTTTTCCTAAACCCTGAAAATTTGAACGAAGAATTCTACAAAAAAAAAAAAAAAAGTAACCCAATCTGATAAAGACGTGAGTAAATGCATTTCATAAAGATGAATTCATAAGCTTAACACAGTTAATCATCCAAAAAGTAATAGAAGTTATCCACAACTTGACAGTTTTTTTTTCATGGTGTATGGATATATTTCCAACAGTTCTTTGTCATTTGTTTATATGCATTTGCACCTGCATCTGCATTTACTGCAGATATATTTGCACATGCACACATTTTTCCCTCTTTGGGTTTGATGGAGTGTGCAGCTAGTCAGAGCAGGAACGAAGAGATGGATGAGGAAACTGAATTTTCTCGCTATGCTATCGAAGAAAATGAACTACAGCTAAGAACCCAGCAGGTTGAATGGCAGCCTTGTAATAATACAAAATAAGCAAGGGTAAAGTCGGAACTACACTGTGATTATGAACAGTATTTCAGTTGTTTTCAATTTTAATATATATTGAATTTTACAAACATATACGTGTATGTTTGTTAGTGGGCCATTTGAGAGTCAGTATACTTGTCGTACTGAATAGTCAGTGTCTAAGTATTGTCCTAAATTAGTAAATTTAAAGTTTTAAAGTGGTGACCTTAATTTTATTTGGGATCCAAATTTTAAATAGTTTTCAAATTTCCCTATAAAATGAAAGAGTCTGAGAGAGGAGCAGAGACTTGGTGAAAAGAAGTTATAGAATGGAAAGGGTAGTGGTAAGGAAAGATGAGAGAATTATGACAAGGCTGGCAGATGAGTTCGAACAACTGGCCGCTCAGCTGAACTCTCCGGCACCGATCACCATGGAAATTGGCAAGTTCACCCAAGCCTGTCGTCTCGTTTCTCCTCTCATTCGACACCTAGGCGTCGCTTCGAAGTTCGCCGACATAGAGTACTCTGCTAAGGTATTATTCATCTCTTAAACTTGAGAGTTTGATGCTTTTTGGTGAAGGGGAGATTTGGGTTGCAACCTTGTCATTGCCTTCTACATTTGCATCAAATTTCAAAAGTTTGATATAAAACTTGGGTGTTCTTTAGGGTTTGGTGGATTGTGATTGATGAGTGCTTTGATTTCTTTGGTGCATTTGACTCATGGGAAATATACACATGATTAAATCAGTTACTCATTTTTAAATACATAATAAAACTTGAGGATACTATACAGACAATAAAAAGGGACCAAATTTTATTTTATATACGTCCTTATTGTTTATTCAGTGTTCCTCAACTTTATAATTGATTTGCTCGTATTTCCTTTAGATTAAATGGATTTTTTATAAAAAAAAATTATTATTATTAATGGGGGGAGAGGGTTTTAAACTATTACAATTATTTAGAAGAGCAAAAGTTTCAAACTCGAAATGGATAGAAACTCAACACCATACACACTAGGATATTGGACCACATGTTGATTTAATAGTTTATAAGTTATAGCTAATTTAGTTTCTTAGAGCAACTTCCTGTGCAAGGATATGTAAAATTGAGAAATGTAAATGAACATTTTATAACTCTAGAGACATGTTTTGCTGTAGTAGGAGAATATAAATTTCATGATGAAAATGAAATGCATCTAACTTTTTTTTGTTATTGATTTAAAAAAAAATTAATGTGATGAAATTTTTATTCATTGCGTTAAAACAATAAAAGGAAGGTAAAAATACTAAATAAAAAACTCAATTATGTAAATTCCTAAATATTTCTTATTATTCATATGTATGGTGATGCATGAGATGTAAAAATGAAAATATACTACTTTTTTTTTTACATCTTCTGGTGAGGGTGAGTAATTTCGATATTGAAATTCCGGTGCACTGAATTTCAAATATATTTTTAAGTTATATAATACACATTTAAGACATTTTACATATTTCAAAGATGATCTTAATTATTTATATTTTCTTTTTTATTTTGTTCATATACTTCCCTTTGATGTGAGTGTTTCTTTGGTTTTGTTTAATTAAATTTTGGCTAATGTGGTGGTTACCAGGTTAGTGTGATTGAAAAGGCAGGAAAGTCAGTTAATACCCTAGAAGATTCGCTTGACCGTGAAATACAACAGAATACCTTTAAGCCCCATAATAGTGCTTCGAGATCCCTCATCAGAGTGAGGCGTTCACTTGAGATGCTTAAGATAATATTCGAGCAAACTATGGCCTCAAGGTTTTACTTGTCTCAAACCTAGCCTCGATCTTCTCTGAATTCATTGTTTCATTAACATGTCTAAAATCATTTTCGTTTGGAAATGCAATTTCATCTTAAGTCTGCTGCTACGTCCACTCATATGTTCTATTTTCTCATATCCACTTAATTTATATTTCCGTTCATCATGAATTTTTTTAATGTTTAATATTCATCAAGTACTTTTAATGAAAGTGTTTTTGGGTTTCAAGAGCACTTAAAGTGCTTCTTGCTAGAAAGTATCAATTATGTGATTTTTGCAGGAAACACTTCAAGTGTTTTTTCAAGATTTACTTGCATTTTTACTAAGGATTTGTTTCAAAAATACTCTTATCAGACGCATTTTTAATCATTTTAAAAGTACTTTCAAACGAGCTCATAGACTCTTCTCGTTCTAAACTCATGATATCCATTATACTATGACTTAATTATTCTACTTAAGGCACATAATTATTTATTGACTAATGTTTGAATTAATTATTCACAAAAGAACAAACCCTAAATCAATGACTACTATCTCTTATTTTTTGTATGTCTCTATAATTTTGCAGCTACCTCTTATTTTACTATCACAGATTCACAGTTACTTATAACTTGATTTTTTTTTCTTTTCTCTTTTTTTTTTACTTGGGCAGCGAAAAATCAATCATGGATCCGGTTAAAACAGCATATAACCAAGTTTTGTACCCCTACCACGGATGGGCTCTCAGAAAGACTTTTGTGGGTGCACTGCACACCCTTCCTACAAAGTCACTGTTCTTCAAAAGGGTAAAATTAGATGGTAAGACTATTCAAGTATGTAACTCATCATTGTCATACTATCCGCTTCCAAACCAGGTCTCTAGCAGACTAGCTCATACCTATTGACATTAGGCTAGAGATTTGGGATTGATCGGTTTGACTGCTCATGGTAGCGGTAGCTACCGTGGCCGGTTGCAGGTTCTTTATTTTCATATCCAATATAGAGAAGAAGAAAAAAAAAAATCTTACGTCCAGATATTGAGCATATATAATTAACATGAATTTACTATGAATGCTATATGTACATGGGTATTTTAGGGTTGGACTTCATTGGTAACACAGTTTGTTTGGTATTCAATTTTATCAGAAGCATCGGCTTTTGTTCAGATGCAAAGGACAGTTACTGCATTAGCTCCTCTGATACACTACATCGACAACTTATTCCATTCAAGGGAGTCAACTCAAGAGCTGCTACGCTTGATTTGATAGATTTCCGTCTTTTCGCATGTACTCATGCAATTTTACAAATATTCTTTTATTTCCTTATTTCAAATGTATGGTATGAATATCGGTGTGAACCTTATAAGGATTGTTATTCGATTTGGTTATAGTTATGGTAAGGGAAATTTTATTTGAACCCATATTTTATATCTCAACACCCAGCTTACTTTTTATATCCACATTGTATTTGATTTATCTATCATTATCTTTTTACGCCCAACGTTATTTCCAAAACCGCCCTTACTTATCAAAACTCAACTCAATCAAACTTCTTTTTACACCCAACTCAAATCTACTTAAAAATAAAAAATAAAACCCTAACCAGTCCATCATCTCCATGGAGCAAATGCCCTTCTCTCTCTCTTTAAAAAATCCTTCCATCTCCCATGGTTGTCATTCTGCACCCCCATCTACTACTCCGTAGTCATCCAAACATCTTCCTCTTCCTTTTCTTCATCATTTGACATCTCTAAATTTCTAGGGCACTAATTAGCTTAATAATGGGTATGTGTTCAATTGATTGGTTCAATTTTTACGTATTAATTCCCTTTTCTTTTCAATTAAATGAGCTTCTGGTTAGAGTGTTTAATGAGTTTGGTATGTTTCAATTAAATGAGAATCTTCTAGACTCTATATTCCTATATGTGGTAGAAAAATTGGTACGTCCATGATAACTTTTGGTAGATCAATGAATATTTTTAACCGTGGATAATTTTTTTTTTTGGTCGAAATCGTGGATATTTATTAGATACAAAAGTTGCTGACAACAATTCACATTACATTGAACTGTGGCTAAAAAGTATATCGCCTTTGCATGTTTTAAAGGCGAACTCATAGCTAAGCAGTTTTTATTATGGAGCAAAACTTCAGAAATTGATCTAACCTGGATGTGTAATAGAGTTTATGCATTTTAATGATTAAATTGATAAATATTTCAACAACATATGGATTTCATATCGTAGTATCTTTTAGCCTCTATATGCCACAAAAGTTGCGGACAAAAAATCACAATACATAGAATTGTGGTAAAAAAGTATATCGCCTTTGCACGTTTTATAGGTGAACTCATAGGTAAGCAGTTTTTATTGTTGACCAAAACTTCGGGAATTGATCTAACTTGAATGTATAATTGAACTTAAGCATTTTAATGATTAAATTCATAAATATCTCGACCGTATATGAATTTAATAGTGTCTTTTAGCCTCTATATTGGTATCTGTGGCAAAAAAATGGGTACATCCATGAGAAAATTTTGTAGATCAATGAATATTTTCAATCTGAATATTTATTAGATACCATAAATTATAAGTCTATTCACGAAAGTCTAAGTCAATGCCACGTACAATATTTGTTAAGATATATTTAGAGAACTATTATTAGCACTCCAAAAATCTCATTCAACACTTTGCACAAGGGTATTTTTCTTTCTAATTATAGAAAGTTTGGAGTACCAAATGAGATTTTTGGACTGCTAATAACAATTTTCTATTTTTATATACATTTTATTTTAGTTTGGAAGTCAACTTCCTTTTTTTTTTCCTTTCTTTATCAAGTTGGGAGTATCACTGACTGTGACCTTGTACAACTAGTTGTTGAGTCGTTTTGAATAATCAACATTATTTCTTACAATGTCTTGGGCGTATGAATAACAGAAAGAAAACAGTCATGATACAAGCTGAATAAGAGTAGTACTAATTAATAAACAATTTGTGCATGATGTTTGCTTATAACCAATTGGCATGAAGGGACAAATGTGTATGTTTCATGCATGACTTGGAATAGTATTAGTAAAGTCACACAGGGCAATCAACTTGTTGGGAAGTGGCCCTTTACCACAGTGGTGAATAAGTGTTGTGCTCTTGCATGCATGGATGGAGCTGGCTTAGGCTCAGCGGGGGCGGATGCCCCCACCTAATTATTTTTGGTTGAAAAAAATATACTATTTTAGTTGCTTGTGACATTAGTATTAAATCTTTTATGCACTATTGCCATCGTTGGAAGAGCATATTCAGCTGTAAAATTTCTGTTGAGAAATTGGATGAGAGATCAATAGATAAATGATAACATGATTATTTTTTTTATAGAGAGAGATTTGATGGTATTAGTAATGAAGTTGTCATTCAACGTTTGAAAACATGAAACGTGTTGAGAGATATTGTAATAAGTTGTATAAAAAACCTTATGGATTAATATGTAAGTATTTTGTTGAGTACATTCTTGAACTTTTAATTTGTGACTTTGCTATTTGAGGATGCCCCCATCCATGCAGATCTCTAGCTTCGTCCTTGCTTGCATGACAGCGTGGGTTCGAATTTTTTCGGTGACTAATCTAACATCTAACTTACTAATGCTATTGCTCAACTCAAAAAAAAAAAAAATCAAAATGTATGTAGTGGATAAACACAATCTCAAAATTTAATTAAACTCACATAACAATGATAAATAAAGGCATTATCACAACTTAGGGGTGGTGAGCAATCCCATTAAAATAGAACTTAATATATACATATTAAAAACAAAAACAAATTGATGCAAAATCTCCCGACGACTAATACTATTTCAAGTCATGCATGAAACATACACATTTGTCCCTTCATGCCACTTGGTTATAAGCAAACATCATGCATTTACTAATACTATTCCAAGTCGTGCATGAAACCTATACATTTGTCCCTTCATGCCACTTGGTTATAAGCAAACATCATGCAAAAGTTGTTTACTAATTAGTACTACTCTTATTCAGCTTGTATCATGACCGTTTTCTTTCTGTTATTCATACGCCTAAGATATTGAAAGAAATAATGTTGATTATTCAAAACGAATCAACAACTAGTTGCACATGGTCACAGTCAGTAATACTCCCAACTTGATAAAGAAAGAAAAAAAAGGAAGACGACTTCCAAACTAAAATAAAATGTATATAAATATAGAAAATTGTTATTAGCACTCTAAAAATCTCATTTTGCACTCCAAACTTTCTATAATTAGAAAGAAAAATACACTTGTGCGGAGTGTAGAATGAGATTTTTGGAGTGCTAATAACAGTTCCCTAAATATGTCTTAACAAATATTGTACGTGGCATTGACTTAGACTTTCACAAATGGACTTATAATTTCTGGTATCTAATAAATATCCAGATTGAAAATATTCACCGATCTACAAAATTTTCTCATGAAGGTACCCATTTTTTTTGCCACAGATACCAATATAGAGGCTAAAAGACAATACGCTATTAAATTCATATGTGGTCGAGATATTTATGAATTTAATCATTAAAATGCATAAGCTCAATTATACATTCAAGTTAGATCAATTCCCGAAGTTTTGGTCAACAATAAAACTACTTACCTATGAGTTCACCTATAAAACGTGCACATGCGATGTACTTTTTAACCACAGTTCTATGTAGTGTGAATTTTTGTCCGCAACTTTTGTGGCATATAGAGGCTAAAAGATATACGATATTAAATCCATATATGGTCGAAATATTTATAAGTTTAATCATTAAAATGCATAAACTCAATTACACATCCAGGTTAGATCAATTCCCGAAATTTTGCTCCACAATAAAAATTGCTTAGCTATGAGTTCGCCTATAAAATGTGCAAAGGCGATATACTTTTTAGCCACAATTCAATGTAATGTTAATTGTTGTTCGCAACTTTTGTATCTAATAAATATCCACGGTTAAAAATATTCATTGATCTACAAAAAGTTATCCTGGACGTACCCATTTTTCTACCACATATAGGAATATAGAGTCTAGAAGATTCTTATTTAATTGAAACATACCAAACTCATTAAACACTCTAACCAGAAGTTCATACCGATTATTAAGCTAATTAGTGCTCTAGAAATTTAGAGATGTCAAATGATGAAGAAAGGGAAGAGGAAGAGGTTTGGATGACTACGGAGGAGTAAATGGGGTTGCAAAATGACAACCATGGGATATGGAAGGATTTTTTAAAGACAGAAAGAAGGGATTTGTTCCATGGAGATGATGGACTGGTTAGCGTTTTATTTTTTATTTTTAATTAGATTGAGTTGGGTGTAAAAAGAAGTTTGATTGAGTTGAGTTTTGATAAGTAAGGGTGGTTTCGGAAATAATGTTGGGTAAATAGATAATGATAGATAAATCAAATACAATGTGGATATAAAAAGTAAGCTGGGTGTTGAGATACAAAATATGGATTCAAATAAAATTTCTCTTATGATAATTTCCCTTTTTCCATTGCCTGCCATTCTATACTTCATGTACTGTTGGTCAACTTTTTTTAACTAGAAGGTCTAGACCAGGGTTGGGCATTTAAAAAAAAAAAACCAATTGAACCGCCTAAAATGCACCAAAGGTTTGGTTTAGTTTGGCACAATTCCCGCCACTTCATGTTTTTGGCACAATTCTGGTACCAATATGCCAAAAATATAAGGTGATGGAAAGTCCATAAAGAATTCTACTTTGAGAGTCTTCTTAGCATTTCTCTTTTTTGAATTATCAAGGACAAACTGGACACAAAAGTCTAAAAACTGAAAAGATGCCTTGCACTGACGTAGCACTTGTTTATATAAGGGCGGAGGCAAAAATTTTAAAAGGAGTGTGGGCTAATCTAAAACTACATTAATAAAACATGGGTAAATTACATAGTAGCCCCTCAGGTTTGAGCTCTATTGCAATCTCATACAACATCTTTAAAACATTTCACTTTCATACCTCAAGTACTATTTTATTTCAATTTCATACAACCGTTAGATTTTCCATCCATGGATCTGTTAAATGCTGACGTGGCTGTCACATATATGACACGTGGCTGCCAAATGTCTGCCACATGGCAAATAAAATAATTTTTTAATTTAAAAAAAAAAAAAACATATCTTCCACTTTTTTTTTTCTCTTTCTTCTTCTTCTCTCTCTTTCTTCTTCTTCTTCTCTTTCTCTTTCTTCTTCTTCTGGGTTCGGACCTCCTTTTTTTTTTTTTCTTCTTCTTCTTCTTCTTTCTCCCTCCTCCTCCTCTTTCTTCTTCTCTTCTTCTTCTTCCTCCTTCTTCTTCTGGGTTCGGTCCCTTTCTTCTTCTTTTTTTCTCTTTCTTCTTCTTCTTCTTCTTCTCTTTCTCTTTCTTCTTCTTCTTCTTCTTCTCTTTCTTCTCTTTCTTC